TGCGAGATAGATCGGAGCCAGCCAAGTAATCCCATCATCGTGAAATAGCAGCCGCATTTACAAAACTCAAGATTATCATTAAAGCGGGCCCATGATAAATATTCACCGGCGGTAATTTCCCAAAAATGTGAAATATGCGTAATTATGTAAGCGTAAGATGACACGTTCCTCACAAAGGAGCTTCCCTGCGTTCAGAAGTATGGCACGAGAAGAGACGTGACGGGAGAGGGAGAGATTGGAATAGAAGCGTCAAAGCGAGTCCAGTTAAACTGAAAGGGCATTCTTATCAAGAGAACTCCAGATGCATTCATATGGAGCTTTGTTGCACGTTTCAACGTTGTGCGCGAACGCAAAATGTTCTCTGTTTTGGAGTGGTGGTCTAACCAGGAGACCGTCTCAAACCAATTTTCCTTGGCGAGTTCACAAGGCTTTCGTTTTGCCTGTCGCCATGTCGATGACAGATGAACACGCTTTACGGTAAACGCAGCGTTATGAACGAAACTTGTTTAATGTCGGACTGAAGCGCGTGCTGTGATCGCCCCCCTCACAAGGATGAAAGAAGTGGCAGCAGCATCAGCAGCAAAATCTTCACCCTTCAGCTCAGCCCCACAGCCTCAGCACGAACCCTGACCCCGTCCACCCTGAGCACACAAACTCTGACTGACCACACCGGCCCCAACCCTGCCAAACTGAACTCCACAATCCCACCACACCAACGCCTCCCAACCACAACCCCGCCAACGCCCAAACCCCTCCATCTCTGACCCCACAAACCCTGACAGTACCAACATCGACCCCATGGACACAGAACTTTACCAACTCATGCCCACAGCCTCGATTGTCCGGCTCACTTGCCCTCAGAGCAGTCTCGTTTCCCAAGCCATTCCTCAAATCCCAGTTCTCTTGCGCCCGCAGGTGAGATCCTGCCCACCGACATCCACAGGCAACTTGAAATTGTAATCAGAACCCACGTGGAACATCAACCACCATGAGCCCAGGAACATAGACAGTTTGGTGGGCACCAGGCTGCCCTCGGGGCCTGCCCTCTGCCGTGTGCCCCTGCCCTCTGGTCTGCTCTCAGCATATGGGCTGCCTCTCCCCAGCTCTAATTAATTAGCGCACCACTGCTGCCAAGCGCTGCAGAGCACACTGCCAGCGCTGCCCAGTCTGTCACGTCGCCAGCGGGGATTTGCAGGGCTCTGCTGCCCTTCCCGGCGGCCGCTGCAGTTACCTCCGGTTTGATGCACACTCCGTGTCTTTGTCACGTCCGTGTATTTTTCCACGTTACTTTGCGCGCGAATCGCTGCAAGCGGACATCTCGAGAAGGACCGTCGATTCCGGGCACCGTGAGCGTGGCGAGGAGACGTCAGGAGTCGCTTCTTGGCTTCTGGCCCGCGAGGCACGGCCTATATTTAGACGCCGTTGCGTTCAAAAGTTTTCGCCTCTTCCCTTATCGTCCGGAAGCGCGGATGCGTTCCGCGCTGCAACAGACGGGCGTGCGGGTAGCGGTGAGGAGAACTCGCAGCGTGCGCAGTTGCGGGCGCCACAGAGAGACAAAATGGGGAATTACACACACACACACATATTTAACGAGTCACCTAACACGGAGAATTACCGTTGTATAATGGGCTTTGCATTGTTAAGCAGTTTAGAGATGATTACCACTACATGATCCAGAATTCATCGTAAAGCCTCCAGGGCACCTCGCCAACAGCATGAGCTCACGGTCTCCTCCGATTGGCACAGTTTGCTTGAAAAGCACGCGGATATCATCGCAGTCCTGTGACCGGAAGTTGATTTTGGCAAAGCAGTGGCCGTGTCACCGCAAATTAAAAATGTAATCACCATCCAGTGCAGTTCTGTCCGCAACCACCTCTATGCCCACTGCACCTAAGCCGCAGAGGAGAAGTAGCGTCTCGCGCTAATTAAAATCCTCAAAAAAGTATTTGCAAGAAGCGTCGGGGAACGATTACGCTTTAAATAAAACGGGGGGTTCATCCGTTGCTCCACCCTCCCCCTCGCTCCCCCCCCCCCTCGCTCCACCCGGCTCCCTCGCTCCAACCATCCCCTCGCTGCATCCACCCCCTCGCTCGCCCCCCCCCCTCGCTCGCTCCACCCTCCCTCTCGCTCCACCCTCCCCCCCCCTCGCTCGCTCCACCCGGCTTCCTCGCTCCACCCTTCCATAAGCTCCACTCTTCCTGTCACTCCACGCGACTCGCATGCTCCACACTCCCTAGTCCACCCTTCAGAATCAGAATCTCTGCAGGAGGAATCCGATGAGCTATTAAACTCTTTTTTCACAGATGGCCGGTAGGGGCGAGTAAGAAGGTTACAATACCCAGCCCCACCCGTGCTCTAAGTCCACCTGGCCCTACCCAGTGCCATCACTCCATCCCCTGCCTCCAGGCTCCAGCAGACCCCCCCCCCCCCCCTGCTCTTTCTCCACAGCTCCACACACCGAGCAATCGAGCAGTAGCTCATCCCGAGGTTTTAAAACGGAGGAACAAGTAACGCTTTGCTGCAATATGACCCAGTTTTCATAAACCCCGTGGTTACATAACACGCAGATTACACGAGTTCAGCATCTTTGCTGTAGAAATGTATGTCTGTGCAGTGTTGGAATCCGCGGAGAGTTGAGCGTACAGGGGATGATGCCGTAAGAATTTTCTCGCACATTGCACGCTTTTCTGTAATTTAAAAAGGTCGAGAGCTGTGTGCGGTAGCTGCGGCCGGATACATAAATTCGTCTTGCTGGATGTTTTATTGATGAGCGTGTGATGAATGTGGAATCAATGCAGGATGTGTTGTGTGTGTGTCTCTCTCTCTGCCCGTTTAATTTTCCATTAATAATTAATGCAATTAAAAATTAAGGTACTCATTTTGAAATATTAAAGACACGCTCTTCTTTTTTTGTGAGATTAACAAATTCCAGCTGTATTCTCGCTCTCTTTTTCCTCTCCATATATGCACACGGTATAGATTTATTCTGAGGTCACCAATATCATTGCCTGGGCTCGCTGTCCTCTTGTAGCGGTGCGTTGTAGGTCATACCGAGATAGGTCATGGTGGGGGAGGGGGCGTTTGTGTTCTGTGCGGGAACAATATTTAACGAATTTAATTTTACACAAATCCATGGGAACCGCATATGACAAAAAAAGCACACCTGAATGTTCATTTTTCTACTCCGAACCCAACCTGAACTCTTTGCAACATTGACATCGTTGGTGTATATCACGCACGGCGCTGCGTAGTTTACTAAACCCACCACGTGCCATTTATATGTTGGGGGATGGACTAATTTACATTGGCACAACGCCAGAAAACTGAAATGCGATTACCCCAGGGGGGTCACATTAGCCGGAAAACCGGGAGAGAGGGGGGGGGGGAAGAAACGGCAGTTTCTAGATTGCCTGCACGACGCGCATGAAGTCGTTCATAAGTGACCCCCTCCCCAGAGCAGAGCCAACTGAGGCACCGCCACACGAGGCAGGAAGCCACCGACACGGAGAGGTAGAGACCACGCAGACAGTTGGGGGGCAGGGCCCCCTCCCCCTGCCTGTGTGAATGTTCAGCTGTCAGAATCTTCTGGAAACACTGACACTTCCGGACACACGGTTCAATACGCCCGGCATTCGATCACTCGGCTCTCGAGTTGCTGCGTGCTGCGTGCATAACTACAGAAGCCACCGCTGTACAACAAAATAAAATAAAAACAAGTGATTGCAATAGGGACGGTACGAGGGGGATGCTGGGATGGGCCCTGCACCCGCCGACCGGCAGCAACCGGAGGAGGGCTTGGATTGCAGGCGCGCCTCAGAATCTAGTCGCTGACTTTGCGTGCCCTAATTACCAGGTGCATTCACCTGCGTGGCGCTTGTGCTGCATTAGCATACGGCCTTAATTGCTCGCTGATGTTGCCATCAGTTAAACAATGCTAATGTGCCTCTCTCGTCTGCTGATTATGTTGCCCGCAGCACCCCGGGGAGACCCCACACAAAACAGCAGAGATAACAATCCGCCCAGCGGATTACATTATATTTATTATTGATACTTTGCAGAGCATTTAGCCCAAATATTCTCCGTACAAAAGGTTAAAAACACAGACATGAATCTTCGTCAGGGACGCACACTTTTTTTCTACTTGCCATGATCCCTTTTTTTTGTAATGCAAATGCGCGGTTATATATTTATGCGGCAAATAATTAATATATCGTGGTGTCATGGGCCGTGTGCGTATATATAATTCACGTGCCATCCTCCCATGGCGCACGACTTGCAGACGGCTGTCACGAACGATCAGTGAGAATCGCGAACGTGAGAGGGCGGAGACGCCACGAGTGCCCGCGGCGCCTGCTTGGTGTACGCCACGACGACAATGCCGGCGGCATTTGCGGGTTGGCACCGTGGTGTCGGGTCAGTGGCTCGGCGGGGTGAGGAAGTACGCTGGCACGGGGCGGGCGGACGCGGGTGGGAGAGCGCCGGGTGGAGCCTCATGCGTGCCACAGGCCCCCTGCGATGGCAACTTTTACACATCTCTTGCCATCCCCTACCGATTTGTAAACTCCTTTTTTTTTACCGCGTACCAGTTTTCTAAGCAACTTCTAACACTTTACACAAGGTTGTAAATATATATTATGTATAATACACGTGGGTTTTTTGTGCGTTGCTTAGAAAACTTGTACGCAGTAACAAACATTGGCAGCCGTGCGAGCAACAGTGGCAATAGCCAGCCGCAGGCCGGCCATCAGCTCTCCTTCTCTTTGCCGATCCTGCCAAGGCCACCAGGCCTAGGCAAAGAACCCTGAAGATCCATTCCTGGAATGGCCCTTGCTCCCCCGGTGCAGATCGGATGTGAAGGTGACCACGTCTCAGGGCCCCTCACCCCCCACCCTCTCACCCCCCACCCTCTCACCCCCCACCCTCTCACCCCCCACCCTCTCACCCCCCACCCTCTCTCCCCCCACCCTCTCTCCCCCCACCCTCTCTCCCCCAACCCGCAGATGGACCCCATGCAGAAGGCGCTGCTCGCACCCTTCCACCTGCATCTCCCGCCGCGCAAGCGCCACGTCATCTCGTGCAACGTGTGCCAGCTCCGTTTCAACTCCGAGGTGAGGGCGGCTCGCGCGGGCCACAAAGGTCTCGGAGTGCCTGCCCCTTCCCCCTCCACCCCACTCGCTACTGTTCCCAGGCGCACCGCTACTTCTGACACAAGCAACCCCCGTGCAGCTCCGCTGGAGGCATTATTGCTACGCTTGTTCACTTAGGAAAGCCTCATCCGAGTCTCAAGACTCTTTTTCAGGAGGGTCCTGCCAGGTTTTTAGGAATAAGTGGTGAGGATTATATAGCGTGTGTTTCCAAATCAGAAGGTTGTCCTGGCAGACGTTATTGCTGCCATGAAAAAAAACGTATTCAGAGTTAAGAACCTGACCATGCAAGCAGCGAGGAGTACTAAGGGAGGACCACCGAGCGTATTCAACTCTCAACGCAGGCTCCAGTGAACAACCCCAGGCCCCGCTGGCGACCTCTCCTGCTTCATGGTCCTAGAGGCCTGGACAGGATCTTTCGTCCCAACCTGGCTTCCCTGACATTCTCGTAAAGAGCTGAATTGGCCGGTGCCCTGATCTTCAGCTGACCTGCAGCACTGCCAGACAAAGACCCCTGTGGAATCCCTCCCACCCCTGCCACCCGGCATTCTGCAGGATCGAGGTCCTCCTCGCACCACGCTCGGAAACACCTCCAAGGAGAGTTATACACGGTCTATATTGAGGCCCCCCCTCTTTGACTTTAGTCGATCCTGAACTTCAACATATAGACCCCACCCACTAAATCAGGCCCTCTCAATCACCAGGCCATCAAGTTCAGTGCCAGGCCTTAACACCACGCACCCCTTTGGCTGAGCAGGTGTGCTCTCAACAGGAGCTGCCAGGCTTCTCCCACCGTCATGGCCAAGAGGTCAGAGATCTACTTCGTCCTGAGCCAATTCGGCGTGGTCAAAAAAATCACCTCTGCTCCTTCCCTCCTGACCTTATCCAAAATCAAAATCTTTGGAACGAGGGGGGGGGGGGAGGCGGGAACACATGCCTCAACTGTCCCGCTCACTCACATTGCGTCCATCACGATGGCCTCCCGTTGCCAAAAACCTGGACGCAAGCACACGGTCGTCTTGGCGTTCTCCTCAGAGGGAAACCAGTCCACCGTCGGGTGTCCAAACCTGCGTGTCACTTACTGGCACTCGCGTGCCCACTCCCCCAGGGCAAGCCTCCCAACCGGGCCCATGGAGCCACCTCCACCGTGGCTGCCTTGTAGCCGCAGGTCACAGGAACAGTCTCACATGCCCCCGCCACCCATCTCCGGCAACCTGCCGAACACTGCCCTCCAGTGATTAAACTTTTCGTGAACACCCACCCTTGCACAGTGTTGATCAGTCAGGTTGTTGTCCTTTCCCCGCACCTCCTACTAGCACAGTTCAAGTTCATTTATTAGGTATAGCCCTGTGAGCCATTCGGCTCTTGAATCGGGTGCAACCGCAACAAACAAAAAGCAAAAACATGAACAAGAATACATCTTATAGTGACTATGTGCAAACAGAAAATCCAAGAAAAGGCAGCAAAATATTGTAGAAAAAGCACCGTACACCAACATTGTGTGCAAATATCCCAGTGGGATGCAAGTCAAACAACAACAACCACAAGACAACTTAGATTTAGGCCATCAGTCTAACTCTGTACTACAACAAACAAACATGGCCAAACCAAAAAACTTTTCGAAAATTACCTAAATAAAGCCATAAAAGCAATGAAACAGTGGTTATAGGAACTGTGACCGAATATTCATAATAAACGACGTAAACAACATGTACTACCAAACTCTGCAGCCATAGGTGGCTGCATGAGTCACTCCACAACAGTAGGAGCATGTCGGAGTATCAACATTTTTCAATGCACCTTTAAGATCAGCACACAAAATCAAAACACAGATCATACTTTGCAGCAATCATCCAGAGTGAAACATTGTATTTTAGGCCACTAAATTGCAGTGGCAGCTAGGGGTGTACAACTCCTCTAGAGCAATTTTGAGTGAAGATCTCATAGGTAGTGATTCAAGTTGCAGTGTATTGGCAATAGCATTCCAGACCCTGGGGGCATCAATAGCAAAGGCCCTTCCTCCAGTATATGTATGGCAATAGGGAATATGAAGCTGGTAAATGAGTGTAGACCTTAGGTCAAATTTGTTCTTTGAAACAGAGAGGAGATCCAGCAGGTAATCTGCGGATTTTTTTGTAAGCACATCATGAATAAATAAGATCTGATGCACAAGCCGTCGAACATTGAGAGATGTTAAGTTTGACCCAATGTAGAGATCATAGTGATGAGTCCTATATGGGCAGTTCAATGCAAATCTTAAGGCCGAGTGATACATTGAGTCAAGCTTCTTCAGTACAGTACTTAGGGCTGATTTATACACGATGTCACAGTAATCAAGTAGTTGGCTACGTACGGTGCAAAAGAAGTTCAACATATATACATAGAGTGCTCCTCAGTGTTTTTTCTTACGTCCATGGAAACATGCAGATATGTGTCCTTGAGATCCACCAAGGAGAGCCAATCGCCCGGCTTCACGATCGCTCTTAGGGACTCCATATTGAATTGCCTTCATTGTCATAATCCCTTTTAACCATCTTGTCCTGAAGCCACCAATGTCCTTGGTTACCATAAATAGATGCGAGTAAAATCCTTAGAACGTTTCATCCCTTGCGTACTATTAAACAAAAAATAGCCGCCCACACACTTGCAATACACCGCAAATGTTGCCTTAATTACCAGAGACGTCTCAACGTCCATTTGGCGCTATTTTGAGCACTGTAGCCCTTTCAGTTAGCCGAGCTGCAGCAGTGCCAAGAACAACACCCAGAAAACTTAAACACCAAATCAAAATGGAGGCAGAATGGTCATGTGTGGAGAAGTAGGGGTGGAAACCCTCGCCCAACGTTACAGTTAAACTATTAAATTGATATGATGAGTTTTCTGGGTGCTCTGCACAGGAAGTTGTTCGGGTGCGCCGGCGACTGCCGTGTGAACAACACCCACGATGTTGTGATGAGCGCAAACAATCCCGTCAACCGTAAGAAATGTTTCCTTTGTGCCAACGCGAGCGGGGAGAGAGTCGTGCCCATGCAAGTCTGCGCCTGTCGGCGTCTGCCCTACAAAAATATCTCTCCGTGTGCAGATTGTTTATTCAAAGACCACCCATTCTCCCGGGCACCGCTAAACGCACACGATCCACAAACACCCCGGAGCGGTCCCCGCGTCGTCGCAACTCTCAAAACCAAATAGTCGCCCGCGCAAAGCGCGTCTCCCCATCCCCCCTAGCCCCTGGCACGGACGCTCTATACATGTTTGAGATTCCTGCGGTGGACCCCTAATGGATAAGGATTTTTAACGATCGTTAATAGCGATGTGGTTTTCATCCCAGAGCGTGCGCGCAATGCGGCCAGGTGTGTGCACAATTCATTGCGGCGAACTCCCACCGGGTGCACGGGCGAAGTAATGGATCGTCCTGCCCGGCCCCGTCGTAATCCACGAGCCTTCGTCAGAACGGCGGCCTGCGTCGCCCGCAAAGGGAGGGAGGTAGGGAGGGAGGTCGCCATCGGCGCTCGCTTCCCCCATGTGGCCTCTCTCGACGTACCACAACCAAACCCTCTCCCGAGACGGCGAGACGTGTCTTTTTTACGTGAATAATTAACGAGTGTGCTCTTTCGGTTTGGCCAGCAACGGAACAGATTGAGGCACTGGGTTTTTTACGCTGTCGTGACGCTCGCAAGCATTTAGTTCCAGCCTGACATTGATCGGCGGGAACATGGGTCAACGGCGCGTGTACCCGGGAAATCGCGCTCAACGGCCTCGGAGCAAAATGCGATTCACCTCTCCCGCACGGCTCTCACCTCGCATGCGCGTGCCCACTCCCGCGTGAGGGAGAGGTTGCACCCGGCACACGAGCTACAAACCGGCCACAACTCGTTTGGCCACATGGCCCAAGTGCGGCCACACCACCCACTCCACAGCCACGTGACACCGGTCTGCCAACACTTCCCATACCCGGCCACAATACACTCGGCACGCTTTGCATACCCGGACAACAAACCCGCAACCTGCCACGGCAGGCACGCCACACACGTGTGGGCCACAACGCGCACAGAACGCTGCGATGAGGGTAATGGAAAGAGTGGGATTATACCGATGAGATCCGATGAGACGGTTCAAATGAGTAAAAAGACAACCGACCTCTGACCCCAAGTCATGACCCCCGAATCGGGACAAATCCTCGATTGACTCGTACGTGATCCCAGCATCAGATAGTGCGCATGATTTGATGCTAAAATTGATCAATAACCTATAACTATGTTTATTTTGCCAAGTAAGGCCCACTCACTGAGCTATATCGCTCCCTTTTCAGAAGCGACCTTGCTATCACAAATGATAGCTTAACGAAGCGGCTTTTCACGTGGGAATCTTTAGCAGCTAAATACTCTAAACGCGTGTTTCTAAATGTGGAGGGAAACCCGGACGACCCGGAGAAAAAAAATCCACGTGAGAGACATACACATTCCAAATATACAGGTATCAGGGTCAGGATCGAACCCACAACCTCCTCCATAATATAGGGTTTTTGGGTTGAATCGCGTAAATATAAATGTGCCGTCAAACCTGCCCAGCACCCGACACAGCCAACTAGTAAGGTTTGTCACATTAACAGAACGTGGCCAATTCGTTACTAGTGCAGCACACCGGTGTGTTGGAGAGCAAATCCACATCATTCGCAATCCGAGTACACAACCTCCTGTATACCAGACGAGGAAGCTCACATCTCGCCACCGTGGCGCCCATGCGCATGACCAGGGTACAAATGAATGAACCGTGAATGCGGAGTTGAAGCTGAGCGACAGTCGGGGGGGGGGGGGGGGGGGCGACATCTTTGTACCGTTGACGTGGGGCGTTTGCGTTGGTGGCAGCGGGAGGCCAACCGGTGCTCGCTTTGCTCTTCACAAATGAAAAGACAGCGTTGGTAACATTTGATATTCAATTCAGGAGTTAATTGTATTAAATCCCCCGCCGGGGATGGCTTGCGTGCGTGGTGTGTAGGTTGGCGTGTACTTTTTTTTCGGTTCAGCGAAATTATGTAACTGTTTGACATGTAGTAATGGTAAATGGCAATTTAATATTTAAACACACTTTTCATGAAATGATGAAAAGTGAGCACGCGGCCTTTCAAAAACATTGCCGAGTTTCAGAGTAATTAAGAGTTTGTAATTTTGCCGTGTCTTGGAGCCGTGTTCGCACAACACACGGGCCACCATCCACTGTTCCCTTCACAAGAATCGCAGAAGCCGGGTTACCTAACAAGCCCCTTACATTACATAAACACATGCTTCAGGTCACCAGGTCGGAGTTAGACATTCAAAATGTTATTTTTAGTTGTTATTTATTTTTTCAACCCTCATCAACCGAAGCTTACATTCCATTCACATTCTCAGAATTACTCTTATTTTTCATGGTGCGTCACGATGTGCAAGATAATGTTCGCTTTGATTTGCCAACAAATCTGGAATAATATATATATTTTTTAACCCAAACATGAGCCTTGTTTCCACGAGATGCCTCTGCATCATGCAGGGTGGTTCACTATCTCTAGGTGTATTGCCGTGCACTGTAAGGCGATGCCAACTTTGAGCGCCTGTTTCTGTGTGAGTATGTGCGGGGAGCAGTGGTGGAGCGGTTAGCGCGCAGCTCTACGAACCCGGCGACCCAAGTTCCATTCCCGCTCACGGCCAACACCAGTGACAATTATCTGAACCAGTCCTGGACATCCCCTAGGTCGACTCAGCCTCAAATGAGTACCTGGTGCAGTGTGTAAATATCACCACTTGGGGCCGGGCGTGATGCTGGCCACCCACCCCCTCGTGTGCCGTGCTGGTCTTCATAGGTGCTCGTGAACAGCACTTGCCCCAACAGTCTGTTAAAACTTCATGGGGGATCTTTGCCTTTTGTCCGAGTCTGTGCGAGCATTTGTCCGCGCGTCTGTAACGATGCGCTTGTGCAACTGCATGGTTGTGCGTCTGCGCGCAGCTGCTGTCAGATAAGGAGCCACGCGACTCTTCGTTGGATGGTAACCATCGTGCGATTTGGTGGGGCGGGTGGGGGGGTGGGGGGGCCTCCGAGCGGCTCCTGTGCCCCCTCGCCACACACGGGAGACCACGGCGAGGGATGCCAGATGAACTCGACCTCCCCCGACTGTGCTTCTGCCGCGGTATCGAGCTCCGTCACAGTCGAGCGTTCGTTCAAACTCGATCACCGCTGGCACAACTGGGTTAAAACGGGATATTCTGACCTCGGGATTCGGAGGGGTTGCCGTCTTAAACGACTACACGTGTCCCCGCATTCATCCATGTATTCGTTGACCTCATCTAAATATAAGCCTCTAATTAGGAAACATCACAACGCGGCCATCGCTGCTGGCGCCAGCGCCATTAATGCGCCCTCGCGAGCTGCGTTTTGGAAGCGGCGTCCCCTTAACGTCCCACGTTTCATCGAATGCAATTCTGCGATGTAAATTGCCAAGTGAAAGAAAACGCACCAAGTAAATAAATAAGCAACCCCCCCCCCCCCCCCCCCCCCACTGATTGAACCAATTGACCAATCACCTCTGGCCTTCCTGTGGGACTGCGATTAATACATAGAAATGGATCAGTGCGCGAATGCTCACGCCCAGCGAAGCCCCAGCATCTCGTTCCTCAGCGCTGGTAATTGCGCTCGGCCAGGCCCGTTTAATTGGCCGCAGTAAATCTGCTCTGCATACGCGTGGCGTTCATGAGCAGAACGGGGCTTTTAAGGGTCTCTTCATCACCGCTACCCTGGCCCGTAGTGCTTCGGGTGCATGTCCAGCAAGACACCAGTGGTTCCGGCACTGCAGACTGCGTCTACAATGACTGCAGCACAGGCGTCCTCGTTTTAGATCTCGTGTGACATCGGAGTTTCGGGGACCTTCGGGAGACGAGGTTCAGAAATGTCCTGCTTAGGAGTCATGTTTTACTGGACTGTGTGCTCCCAGGAGACCAATTCACGTCGTCCTCAGTGTACGTTATCACAGCGAAGTGGCGTCGATGCGGCTTTATTCCCGCATTGATTATCAGACATCGCACTAAATATTCCGCGGGCAAAACTGGGGGGGAAAAATGTCCGCTCGTCACAGCGCTATCGGAGAAGTGCGGATTCTGGTTGCGTTCACGTCCACGCAAGTGCTCCGGTAATGGCCTTGGTGAAATGATTCACAAGCTCACCCATTCACTGCACACCATCGACTTTTGAATTCAAATCACTGGAAAGAATTCATAATGATCGGTCTTCACGTTTTTTGTTCAGCGAACATAATGCCGTCTTGCGAATAAGCTCCGCGCAGACATCTGCGCACGCATTCTCTCTGGAGTTGAGATTATTCGACAATAACGGTGCTTTTTTCACGCAGAAAGATGGAAATTTCCATTAAAATTGTAAATTTTTAGAATTCTCCAAACAAAGGAGTTGAGACGGCTCCTTTGGAAGATGCGCGCCGTTGGTGTCAAGTGGCACCGTTCTCCCAGTGTCCTTGTCCCATCTCTCGAGCTTGCACGGGCGGAATTAAAACTTCGAAACCCACACAATCAGGAGCCGGGGGGGGGGGGGGGTGAGTGGTGGGGGTGGGTGGGTGGAGGTAGGGGGTTGGTGGGGGCGGGGAAGAGATTGCAAACAGAACCAGGCCAGCAGCATTGGGTCTGGCCGTCCAATACTGAGGCCCTAATCACTTTCCTTAATGCGCCGGCATTGACGGATGGCCCACCGGCAGCATCAGACCGCCTGCTTGAAGAAGTCGGGAGACGCACGCAAGTGCGCTAACGGACATATCGACGGACCACTTTTGGGATAATTAAGTATTGACGCACATTTCCCCTGGAGGTCCTTGTGGGCACCGGAGACGAAAGAATGGCCCAAACTCTGAAAGGGCCATGCCACGCAATTTGGGGGGTGGGGGGAGAGGCGAGCGGTTTGATGGCTGAGCACATCAGCCAACCCGCCAACCCGAACCAACCAGCCAGCCTGGCACTGGCACTAGCCCCTAACCATAGCCAATTAGCCAAGCAGCTTCTGTACGTATGTATGCTGAACTTGTTTTCTCGCACCATACGTAGACAATCGCACGAATCAATTAGTACTAGCTATACCCCGACCGCAAGTACCAGCCCTACCCATAACCAACTCGCCAGCCACAAGTACCAGCCCTACCCATAACCAACTCGCCCGCTTACATACAGCAGTGATATCCGCCCATCAATGCCAACTCTACCTCGATCCCCACCTCTTGATGTTCACTACGACCCCTTTCAACGTTTTGGTTTTTTTTGGTGTTGACGCTGCCCGGATTCGGGTGTTTTGAAAAAAGGTATGGCAACGCAACGAGTTTGCCACCGCTGGGCTCCCTCCTTCCCGCGGCCGGCCTGCGGGATGCTCCCTGCCTTTCCCACGGCCGAACCCGTGCGTGCATTCTGTACGGCGACTCCGTAGACTCGACTCTGGCGCCAATAAAACTGCCAAGAATCAACAGGGTCCTGGAAACTCCCGCGAGCGCATAACGATTGTCTCAGGAAGTCCACAGCGAGTTTAAACACCACGGCCCGAGTGGTCGTTTTCCTACGACTCCGGTAGGAGTAGCTCTCGGTGCTCGCGGGAGATGCCGGTGGGAGGCACACGCCTTGATTTGGTACGCACATCGTGCTGTTTTCGCGAAACGGTCTGTATTTCACTCTCGCCCGTTCATTACTGTCAGTGGGGGTTGTACATTTCCCATGGGCGTGCTCCCTGCGTAGCCATTAATTCACGTTTAACACCTCGCTGTCCGCCCGGTCTCGCCGTTAACGCGTTACCCGTCACGCGCAACCTCCACTTCGCAGAGCCAGGCCACGGCACATTACAAGGGCGGGAAGCACGCCAAGCGCCTCAAGGCCCTGGAGATCAGCAAGGCCAAGCAGGCGGGTGACACGGCCGACCAGGCCGAGCGTGAGCCAGGCAAGGACGGGACCACCCCCGCCCAGCCGGCCTGCGCTCCGACCGCACCCTCCCGTGGCGATGGGAGCGACCTCGCGCCCACAGAAGGTGGCCTGCGCCAGCGCTCGGACACACACCCGCACGCGAGCGCCCGGCAGCTGCTTTTTGCAAAGGGTGTCATCACCTCTGTGTGGGGTCACGTGACTGTCAGGTTCTACCTCGACTGGTATAATACAGGAGGTCGTGGATTCGATCCCGACCCTGACGCCTGCTGCTGTATATTTGGAGCTTGCGTGTCTCTCTCTCTCCATGGTCGTGTGGATTTTTCTCCGGGTCCACATTTAGAACCAATATCACGCGTTTAGAGTATTTGGCTGCTATACATTTCCACGTCAAAAGCCACTTCGTTGAGCTATCATTTGTGGCCAGGTTGCTTCTGAAAAAGAGCTGTATTGCTCAATGTAAAATACAGTTTGTTTTTGGCTGGGAACCAAAATGTACGTGAAATTGAAGATGTTTTCACCGTCGCCGTGAATGTATGATTGTAAAATGGCACAGCTGACGCTTGTGTGGCGATAGTGTTTTCCCGAGCGTTTGCGTGTGATTCAAAGCGCCCGTCCATCCCCTTGAAGGGCAGTGCAAGCGATTCATATCCAGCGAGGTGGAGGCCCCGTTGAAGATGTAAAAGCTGTCGTTGTCGAGCTGTGAGCAAGTTCCTGCAGTTGCGGAGAAAGCGCCCGCACCAGTCCGGTGACAAACGTGTGCGGTTAACAGCGAGAATTCCTCTCATGTGATGATGATGATGCGAGAATGCAGTCTCCCGTCCGTGGAGAGGCATTTGGAAGGAGTAACGAGGAGAGGTCATTACTCAGCCAGATCCTGGTTCCAGAGCCAAACTCATCCACGATGGGAAACATGTGCAACACTGTCTGGAAATGGCACCGAGAAGGAAAGTTGCAAGTTTCACTGGCCCAGAAGAATTCCTTCATGGTCAGGATAATAATAAAAAACACTCCCTATCAGACGCATCCTGACAACGTAACCGATACAGGCACCCCCGGCGATGCCGCGAGCATGGGGGGTGAGCACGTTGCCATGAGGCTCGATTCGCGCGAGAACGTGGATCGGAGCGTGCAGTGACCTTGGCTGCTCCTGTTTCCAAATCGTAGAAGCGTTTCATTACGACGTGCGCACGCTTATCACCAAACGGCGAACTGGCTCAGCAGTGGCAGCGAGCTGCAAGCAACCGGAAGGCTGCGAGTTCAAATACTCGTTGATGATTGACTCGGGCCATCATCCTTGCGGGGTGGATAAAGTAATAAATGTGTATTGTTCCATGGGATAGACTCACCCCTGCCATAGATATGCAGAATTGCCACCGCTGGCTCGGGACTTCGAACGGGAGACGAGCGTTACCTCGACGCTCACTTGACCAAACAAAACAACAACGCAACGACCGTAACCCAGCGGCTTCTCAGACGTTTTTCGCTGATGTCGTCAGAAGCAGACGGGGGACCTCTGTTGGCGGAGAGCGCCTCCGCCAGCCTCCAAGCGCAGCGCTCGGCGAGCGACGGCGCCGACCCGGCACCCGGCGGCGGCGTCGTCTCCGTCGCGGCTCAACCCGGCGCGTGCAGCGTCGCCCGAGGACCCCTCGACTGCTCGGGCGCCGCGAGCACCAGCGGCCATGCCGACGAGCCTGCCGAGCAAGACTTTGCCGGCGCCGTGCCCAGGCAGGCGGCTCCGAGCGGAGCCGCCGCCGCCGCCGACTCCGCGGTGGCGCTGGGAGTCGCGCCTCCGGGCCCGGACGACCTCGGCTCGAGCCGGGAGGGCGGCTATGGCGGCCTCGAGCGCAGCGGGACGGGCGCCACCGTGCCGTGCTGCGGTCCCACTGAGACGGATGGAGCCAAGCCTTCAAAGGTGATTAATGCCGTGCATGGTATTCAGCCGGCGCTTTCATTTTTTTAGCTTTTCCCCTGAAAGGATCATTTAAGCCTAATCCACACAGCCTACCTCTGCTGCGTTATTAATCTTACAAGAAATTTAATTTTTGACTTTAAAAATGTATATGCTTATAAATATAATAACGGTGGATGAGAGATAAAATACGAGCTGCCGCTGATGGCCATGAGCAAAATGATCTTTTTTTTGCAGCTTTGAATGTAAAGCCACGCTTGAAATAATTTCCTTGGCCTGGAAGATTACAGGCATTAATGACTTACGTTCAGTGACTCTCTCAGGGGTGCGGGTTTGCAAATGCGCTGATTATAATTACATCACCATTGCTACTTACGAACCATACAAAGGACCACGCCACTTTCTGGTCACAATGTGGGCACACGCACAAGCATGTGCCGCGCGTCGCCGCATTTGCTTATATTTGGCACTTGCCGAGACTGCTATCTTGCAACGACATGCAAGCAGCCGAAGCCACGGCTCCCATCACGCCTTTCATGCCCATCGTGTGACCACCACATTATAATTGTTTTCAGCGCGATGATTTCCCCATCAATTGCAGAAAGTGTCGAATTTGAACGCCCCAACTGTGCGTGGAGCACACAGCCGCACCCATGCGCTACGGCGGGGTGAGTGTCCATCGCCGGTGACTCGGCAGAGCGCCGGTGACATCGTTCTGGCCGCGGGGCCTGACCCGGCGCTGCGCCCGCTCTTGTGTTACAGCTCAGCCCGGCCCTGCCCAGCAGCACGCGCTCCGGGGCGGCGAGCAGCGGCCCGGCGGAAGACGCCAAGGCGTGTGGAGACGCGGCCGCAAAGGACGAGGAGGACAAGGGCGGGGACGCCAAGGCGGAGGGAGACGAGAAGGCCAAAGCGGCGTTGTTCTGCTCCCTCTGCAAAGTGGCTCTCAACTCGCAGTCGCAGATGGAGGCTCACAACAACGGTACGGCTCGCGGCAGAGGGCCCCAACTCTCCGTGGGGTACCCCTGTGGGCCCACTCCGATCGCGCAGCCGTGGATCCGTTAGCCTGCGGCATCCCGGGTGCCGCACGTGGGGTCCGGGCTTCGCCCCCGACGGGACCACCCACCGGCTGCGAGGGACCAAGGCTCCGTTTCGGCAGCGCCTGCGTGCCCCAAAGCGCGGCCAGACGTCGGCTACAGAGCCCCGCGGTTGCGAGTCTTTAATCACGGCGGTCTCCCGCCACGCGTTACGCAGCGGCACCACCTGCGACACTTCCCAAGCCGAGAATGTTGGAAAGTAAACGAGACGAAAACCCCGTCAAACAGCGGTGCCACTCGGAGCCGTGGGCCGCAGGACAAGTCTTCATCACGACGGCCAGCGTCTCCGCCGCCCCCCGAATTTTACGGCCGAGAGACGACACACGACGTCACGCCACTTGGGACTGTCCACCGCTGCTCAATATGCTCCCCCCTTAAAAAAAGCCGATCCACGCTGGATTTTGTAGTCCAGGTTCCTAATAACCTCTGCGAGGCACGGCACGGTTATCCCGTTAAAGCTGGCACGCTGCGTGCCGTCAGGCTTGGCGCTTTAACAAGCACCTCCTTAAGCTGCTCGGCTGAGTTAATGTACACGTACAGCTACGTTAAAATAAATACAAAGGCTAAATTGGGCCCTACACAGAGGCACCACCAGTGGCAGGACTAGTAATGGCGAGGTTCATACTTTGCCAGACAGCGCAGAGCTCCAAAACGCTCACCGCAAATCCACGTCGGGAGCGGTTTTAAGTGGCCAACAGATTCCGTCTCCAGGTGCAGCAAACGCGCTAACTTTCAGAAATCAAATTAGAACGTCGCATTGCAGGGCAGGCATGACGAACGGTGGCGCGTTACAGAGGAACCGCGCGGAATTTCAATTCGCAGTCGGAGCTCGACTTTTGAGGAGCGCTGTCGGTGCCGTGTGCCCGCGCATGACGATCGCGTGATTAGGAAGGGTCCCCGGACCGCGTGCGAGCCTCTCACGCTCGGCCCTGTGCGCGCCTACGTGTCTGTCCCCGTGCGTACGTGACCGCCGGTGTCTGCGTGTGTGTGTGTCTCTCCATTGCCGGCGTACATCTCTCGCATCCCTCTGCGTGTCTCTCCATCTCCCCTCACCCCCATGTGTGTCTACGTGTCCAACAATAATCATAATATGCTTTCGTTTCATACAGCATCATTCATGCTAATTGCGTCCAATGAATGCTGTACGTTAATTATATATGAGGACCAAATCCTATGTACAGCTACGACCAAATGTAAAAATGAATAAACAAATAAAGAAATGGCACCAAAGCAAGGGCACAAACAACAATGACGTCATCACAATAGGGAAATCAGCGTCATGTTCTTCTGTCCCCGTGCGTCGCAGCGTGTCTGCGTATTCCGCCCTCACCCCGCGTGTCCCCGTGTCCCCGCGTCCTCCCTCTGCGTGCCTACGGCTTCGTCCCCGCGTGCCTCTCCCCGTGCGTCCCGGCACCCCCAGGCTCCATGCACAAGACACTGCTGGAGGCACAGAGCGGCGGCGGCAGCATCAAGGCATACCCACGGCCCGGCTCGCGCAGCGCGGGCCCCGGCACGGCCGACCCGTCCGGCCTCCAGAACAAGGTGTTCCACTGCGAGATGTGCGACGTGCGCGTCAACTCCGAGACGCAGCTCAAGCAGGCGAGCGCCGCGCACCACCGCACCACCGCTGCATCGCGCCAGCGCACCGCCACGCCGCACAAACGCCACGTCGCACGAACGAGTCGCACCACTGCAGCCGCACCGCCGAGCAGCACCGCCGCGGATGTGGTTTGGGTTCCCTTCCTGTGCGGCCTGCGCCAGCCGGGCTCCTGGCCGAAACTCAACACCGGCGCAGCCCGAAAATCAATAGACATCGTTTTAAACCGCAATCTTTAGGGCTACACAAATGTTTTGTTTCACGCGGGGCGATTTGGGCCGGGCCCACGTCTCGACTAAACATCCAAAAACGCATTGCCTTGGCAAATTGCCCGCAGTGTTTTTTTTGATGAAGAGGGAGATTCACCCAACGTGTGGTTTTCGTGTGGAGATGAAGCTGTGAATACTTTTGTGCCGTGATTTGCAGTCCTTGTCACGCCACTGCCGGATGGAGGATGCCTTGAGTACCGAAGAACGAAACAGGAGGATTTCTCCGCAAATCTAGCTACCGCCTGATGATGCTCGTTGTAATTACTGGCGAGCATCATACTCGAATTGTAAATGTTGTGGATTTGCTCTCCAACACACCGGAATTGGCATGGTTTACTTAGGTGACAAACCTCACTAATTGACTGTGTCGGGTGGTGGCGGTTTTAACGACACACTTATATTTACGCGATCTAACCCAACCAAAAACTTCTTAAGAATGATCCTTGAGTAGTGTGGGGGGGGAGGGGGGGTTGTTGACTATACTTCACCATGCTGGTCAGTGCTGGTTGGTGAAGTGAAATGGGCTGTGGTGGGGTGCCAGCAGCGGTTCACAGTCTCCTCGCCGCTCACGTCAGCCACGCCTGGGAACTGAACTCTGACCATCAGGTTCCCATCTGCAGTGTGCCAACGTGCTAGTGCCATGGCTCCATGCTGCTTCGCATGTACAAAAAAACAATCCTTACCTTCGCTCTACTTTTCCCTCCAATTCGGTGCCACCCTATTAAGCACCAATTGTGCAGCAGTCGAAATGGGCATCTGACGCCGAGATGAGGGCAAAGCATTCGGAGTTTGACGTGTGTGCCGGAATTGCTTACACTTGACAAAGTTTCCCCCCTCCCATAACCCGCGCTAAAGTGGCAGGTTTGATGGATCGTATTCCCAGTCGAGGCAGCCAGCGAGGCAGCCAGCAACGCAGCGATCATCCGTCTTGCTAGCAGGCGCGACGGCGGCAAAGAGAGCTTCATCCGCAGGCTCGGACCAGATCCTTGGCGTGCGCGGCGTTTGTTTATCGGCGCACGCGCGTGCAGGCGGCGAAACGCGTGCGAGCGAGCGAGCGAGGGGTTCACGGCGGATCGTGAGCATCTCGAGCGTCCCAGAAAGCGGACCACTTAAATGGGCCCGACGGCGCGTTGGCACAAAGCTCGAGCGTGGTAAACTGTGCCAGGCTTGCGGTATCAAAGGGCGTCTGCCCCCCCCCCCCCGCCTCTGCTCGTCACCGCAGCCACTGGCGCGCGCTGCACGTGCCGCACATGCAGCGAGCGAGCGAGTGAGGTCCGACGCGAGGGCCGATCCCCTCGCGCGATTATTTTACGCTGCGGCTGCACTCTATCTGGCTGAGTGCAGCAGCGTGGTGGGGGGAGGGGGCACACGGCCTCCAGTCAAAACGTCGAGTTCACGACTCGGTCGAGGAACACCCTAACCGTTCGTCCCTTAAGGGCGCGCGGTTGATAAAAATAAAAAATCAATTATACAACCGAACCGCTGTGAGGACGACACGAGTGGTTCTCCTGCGACAAGACACGCCCCTCATAGGAATGTGGAATTTCCATCAGTGCTGTCCCACACTCAGTTGAGTGGGAAACCGCTGACTTTCGCTTTCCACGAGGGTTCTTCAGCCGACTACCCTCTTGAGCCCGTGTGACCCACCGAAGACTCCGGGAGTGGCCCGCCAAGTTACGGCCCTCTGAGATACGGCTCGCCGAGGCACAAAGACATACAGATTCGTGGGATTTGAGACGCCAATGCCAGAGCCGAAGACGAGAGCGCTGAAGATGAGTGGTGTGATAAGGAGACGACGCCAGTGCGGAGACATTCTCACGCCGTGTCACGACATCTGAAACACGCACCGCCAACAACATCACGTGGCTCACAAGCATGCGCCAATTTTTTTACGTGGCCCACCAGTAGAGTCGAATATTCCCGCCGCCCCACGCTCCGTGCAAGAGCGGATGACCCAGCAGCGTTAGAGGCTGCAGTGCCATCTAGTGGATTGACGAGGGCACCCCTTCTGTTCCTGCTCCTCGCGGCGGACGCCTCCATCTGAGTGGCACCGCGAGCAGCCAGGGCCACCTTGGCGCTCATCGCCGGCCTGGCTCGGCCGACGACCGTTAAGGGTCAACTCAGCCCATCATCCCACCGGGGTAGATAAAAGCAATACCACTTTGTTGGAGGAAAGTCAACAGTGGTTGGCATTTGGATCGACTCACCCCCGCCATAGGAATGTGACATTTCCACCACTGGCAGGGGGGGGGGGGGGGGGGTAAACAGATGACCACCATCTCGGTGCTCAATTTAGCAGCAAATCGCCGGAATGTAACCACGGGCCTGGCAGAGTCGACCGTCGCGCGCACCGAGGAGGGGGGGTTATTTCCTGAGCCTGACCACGGCCGGTGCTTTGCGAAGTGCCCACACGTATGGGTGGTGCACGTCGCGAGGGAAGCGGGTGAATTTGTGGAAATGCCTGCGGTGCCCCCCGCGCCAACCGCTTGATTACGCAGCTCATAAGGAGCTCTCTCTCTCTGGGGGTAGCCGCCAATGCGCGTAGCGCACGCCTGCCAAGTTTCCAGTCAACGACAACTGAAAACAGCAGTTATTTTTAACGCAATGCATCCCCCCCCTCTCCACATCGTAGTAACCCGGGTTGTGCCCCCCCCGCCCCCCGTTGTCACCCACAGCACATCACCAGCCGTCGGCACAAGGACCGAGTGGCGGGGAAACCGCCCAAGCCAAAGTTCAGCCCTTACACGCGGCTGCCCTGCACCGCGGGCATCATCTCGGTAAGAACGGCGCCCCCCCCCGCCCCGCGCCCCCACCTCGTGGCGGGCTCGGTGCACGTGGCATGAACTCGCGCGGCCGTGAAGGGGCGGGGGGGGGGGCAAGGGGGGGGCGGCAAAACGTATCAAGAAAAGGAGCACATCATGGGACCTTTTTTGCCAGCATCAAATTATAAAAAAACAAGAATAGGTTTTACACTTTTTGGTGTTAAGATGTCCAATTGACCACACAGTACTTGTGGTGAACATGCAACACAGCATTGCTCTGATAAAGACGGCTGTCTGGTGTAGGCTAATCAGTTTGCATGTTCACCACAAGTGCGTTGTATGGTCAATGCAGACTTGATTCCTTGCAAAAGGTTTCTATTTGGCGTTTGAACATCTTAACACCTCTGTTGAATTGCCAGAAAGGGTAACACTTATTATTAATAAGAAGAGGACATTTCAGTTTGTTTTTCTGTGCCCAAAATATCCACATGACACAGACCTACTTGTCCACAAACACAGCAGCAAGGATACAGCAGACGACAAACAAATTCTGACTTCAACAAAATTGGTGATGGAATAAAAACTGCGTCTATTTACTCTATGGGGACCTCATTTGCCAGTAAAAATATGATAATTGGTTCTTTACCCTTCTATCTGGCAACAAAAAAGGTGTCAGTTTTGTTGCCAGATAGAAGGGTAAAGAACCAATTATGCGTCTATTTAGTTTTACCCCCCCCCCCGTTTCATTGTTCCTTAACACGACAGTTTGACTGTGGAACGCGTTGTCGTCACTGAGACATTCCAGATTGACCCATTCCTTTGTCATATTGAATCAATTATCTTGATGATAAAACATTTTAAGATTTAAGTTATTTTTTTAATGGCTGCCCGCAATGGGGCAGCCAGAGCCATAGGGGGCAGCCAAAGAGTCACGAGGGGCAACCAAAGAGTCACGAGGGGGCAACCAAAGAGTCACGAGGGGCAACCAAAGAGTCACGAGGGGGCAACCAAAGAGTCACGAGGGGCAACCAAAGAGTCACGAGGGGGCAACCAAAGAGTCACGAGGGGCAACCAAAGAGTCACGAGGGGGCAACCAAAGAGTCACGAGGGGCAACCAAAGAGTCACGAGGGGGCAACCAAAGAGTCACGAGGGGGCAACCAAAGAGTCACGAGGGGGCAACCAAAGAGTCACGAGGGGGCAACCAAAGAGTCACGAGGGGCAACCAAAGAGTCACGAGGGGGCAACCAAAGAGTCACGAGGGGCAACCAAAGAGTCACGAGGGGGCAGCCAAAGAGTCACGAGGGGCAACCAAAGAGTCACGAGGGGCAACCAAAGAGTCACGAGGGGGCAACCAAAGAGTCACGAGGGGCAGCCAAAGAGTCACGAGGGGGCAGCCAAAGAGCCGCATGCGGCTCCAGAGCCGCAGGTTGCCTGGACTCGGGGTGGTTAATCGTTCGATCGTCACCGGTACTAAATCGCCACTGCGTGCCCCATTGTAACAAAACGTAGTTGCGCAATCTGGACAATGATCATTACGGCTTCCCACCCCCTCCCCCCACAACGTGGGAAAGGGGGATGACAACGCAGCGTGATCGCGCCCCGGTTACACCGTGTGCTCCCTCAACCATTGCTTATGAAAACGCGCTGTTCAGCAAGCGGTTTACGTTGGCTGAACAGGCCTCGATCACTCTGTCACTGTTGTATCAAGTGGCCATAGCTGTTCAAAATAAATGTCCTAGCCGGTGACAGTTGCGCCGAAGTTGTCGTAAATCGTCCCAGCGAGTCACGGCCTTCATATGGGAATGGTCGCCGTTGGCACAGGCCCGTGCATCCCCGAATAGAGACTCTCCCTGCGACCGCTTGAAAGCCACCAGCCGTGCCATGCATCACACACGAAGGTTTCCCAGAACACATATATATATAAAGTTTCACGAGGAAGTTTTATATTTGGAGGTCACTTTTTTCTTCCTACAAATGACGACGGCACGAAATTCATCAACTTTTAATATCTGGCCTCCAAATACGAAAAACGTGGGCAGCGTTTGAGCCCACGCTAGATTAATTTTTTTGCTTTTTTTTTTTGCACCACGAGCGACAAAAACCAGTTAGGTTTTGGAAAATGAAAAATACATAAAATTCCACAAAATTGACAACCTACTCGTTTAAAAAAAGCGTCACTTTCGCTGGCCACATACCAACAGAAAGTGCCCCATTTTTTTCCACCTCATGGTGGCGGCAATTTCCGCTCTGTCAGTAAACCTGCGGACGTGGGAATGAACTTAGCCGTATACATCACACACATAACCCAGACATTGGTTATCAATCCTGGGATGTAAAACTGAACTATTAAACTACTTGTATTTTACCAGGTAAGGCCCACTGAGCAATGTAGCTCTTTTTCAGAAGAAGCGATCTGGCTACAAATGATAGCTCAACGAAGTGGCTTGTGGAAATCTAAAGCAGCCAAATAAACGCACGTTTCTAAATATGGAGGGAAAAACTGGAGGACCCAGAGAAAAATCCACACAAGCACGGGGAGAGAGATAGAGATGGAGACATGCAAACTCCCAATTATACAGGTGTGGGGATCGAGCCCACGACCTCCTAGATACCAGATGGGGCGAGTTAACATCTCGCCACCGTAGCACCGTGACCGCAGAGAACGGGCAGAGCTCGAGTGAGTGCTGCACACTGGATTTATTTAACCTCTTGCCCCTCCGCCGAGCGCCACGCGAGCCGCTACCAGCGAGCGGTGTTGGCAACGCGTCCAATAGCCGCCGTGTAAGGGACCGCTTCGTGCCACGGGGCATTCCCTCTCTCCGCGCAGGCCAAGCTGGCGTTCCCCAAGGACATCGGCAAGGCGGTGGCGCCGGGCTTTTTCGCGACTGCGGCGCCGGCTCTGACCCCGCAGCTGACCCTGCGCCCCTCTCCGCACCACCACGCTTCCCTCTTCTCGGCGGGGCCCGCCCTGTTGCGCCCGGCGCCCGGACCGATGCGCACGGCCCACGGCAGCATCCTCTTCGCCCCCTACTGAGGCCCCCGCCGCGTGGATCGTCCGCACGACGGGGCGCCGCGCGGATCGCTCCCATGGGGGAGAGAGACGAGCGCCGTGCGGGACGGAGACCCGGGCGAAACTGGACACCGCTCGTCACCGCTGGGATGCTGTGCGGCAGTGGTGGCTGGTTAATTGCCCCTAATGCTTCAAGCTTAAAGAAGTGTTTCCTATGAAGCCTGTTTGACTGAAATTCACACGACTAACATTGGAACAGTATGTTTGTGGCGTAACGGCGGTGCGTGAGGCGGGGGGGTGGCGATACAAGCAGTGTTAAATTTTAACAACCTAATTATTATTGCTGTTTAAGTGTCGCACATTAACATGGCTGTCCTCGTAGTCAATAATGCGGTGCCGAATTGCAGCTTTACACCACAACTCGACTGGCAATCGTACAAAACACATCGCAAGAACTGTGAATCAACACGAATTAACTTAAAATCTTCTGCCTTGACAAGACAAGGTGTCGCCGTTAGAGAGCAACGCACACTACGACGAGCGCACGGCGATAACTCGCGGACACACAAGCACACCCACGGACATGAACTCGCATGCAATGCGCATTGGATGTGCGTAGCAACAGCGGTGCACAATTAAACGCCCGCACGAACACACCGGGTATGCGACGACACCGCGTGCTGCTGCACAATGCCAACCGCGGTCGGAGGAGTGCACACTTGCCACCCAACCCAACACCCCGAGATCTTGCCCGAACGTAACCCAATCGCGCCGTCAGCGCCGTAATCGGCACCGCGCCGCGCCAACCCCTGGGGCGGGGCCGCCGCAGGAATTTGGCCGAGGGGCGACGGAGTGCGGCGCGCCAGCCCGCGCCTCAATGCACGCCGAGTCCCTGGATGCGCCCGATACCTCCCCCATCGGCACGAGCTCAAAGTACAAACTGTGGGGGTCAACGCGTAGGGTCCCCCGAGAGGGAGGGGCGGGGACTTCTAGACCCCCACGGGCCCCGGCACTCGTTCAGACTCCTCGTCAGACTGCCCCCCGCCCCCGCTTGATCGATCGTCTTCGGTGGCCTTCTTCCCAGCGAGCCCTGGGCCTCGTGCCAGGAGGCAGCGGACGGAGCAGACAGCGTTGAGAACCACAGAGCAGTGGCAATGAGACGCGGCATCGACGGAATGAAAGAGCATGAGAGCCCAGCGCCTGGACCAAAAAAAAAGGGGCAAACCACGACACGGATCGGCGGCGACACTCAACCACTATATCATCACCACCACCAGCACCAGCGGCAGGAGAGTCGTCACCAACAACACCAGTGGCATCACCAACACTTGCACCGCCGGTCATACCAATGGGAGCTGCACCGCCGCCACTGAAACCCCATATGGTACCACCACGACCACCAGCGGCACTGGCCGGGGGAGGCGCCGAACGAGATCCGCCGCTTCGAGCCACGCTCACGCGGCTCGAAGCGGCGGCGCTGGTTAATTAACGATTGCGGGGGGGGGGGGGCGTGCCGAGCTGCCTCCACGGGGATTGGTCGCCCCCGGGGGCTTATCGCTGATCTCTATTGAAAGGGCTGGTTATGGTGGCGATGGTGACGACGACGATCAATGAGCATCGGTGACGAGGCGCGCGCGGCGCCTCCTGTCCCTCATCGCTGTGGTGCCGCCGTCGTGGCCGATGAGTTGTGTTTGTATTTTGATGTTTTCGCCCAATTATATTCCAGAGCGCGCGATATCGGCGTCCTCGCCACCATGAGACAGCTGGCGCGAACGCGCGCTACACCGCCCCCCCTCCTCCCCCCTCGCAGCGAGTCCGTGTGCCACTGCGGTGGTTTCAAGAGAACTGCTGATTTGAGAAAACAAAAAATGTTCCCCATGCCTCTTTTGCAAGCACTGCACGTGCCCTGCAGGCGGTGTTCTTCCGCACGGCGATATTATTTCGACAGAGCTGAAATTATTTTAATGAAGCCAATAAAACAACTTATTTAATTCGATTGGGGAGCGGGGATGAGTGGGGCAGGTGGTGGAGTTGTACAGTGGTCACCTGTGATCAGGCTGACTCAACTCGCTAATAATGCTGGATTATTCAGGGGTCGGCTGAAACCATGATTCGAGCACAGGTCCTCACAAGTCAGCTGTGACCGGCGGGTGGGTTGGCGTCTCTGGCACGCCGCTATGAACCCCTTGCCACCCTGCCCCAACTCGTGTTGTCCACGTGCGTGGTACGATGGCTCAGAATTATCTCGTCGACGGTTTACGCTCCGACACGAGCGGCGAACCAAACCCGTGGCCGATGACTCCATATTAATATGGTTCACTTCTAAGCAAAACTTTGGACGCTATTTTTAAAAAATTGAAAACATTTTAATGGCATTTCACCTAATCAACGCTGCCGACGAAAATTGACGCGTAAACCTTGGACCTCCCCTGCGGGTTAACGAGCCTAACGTGATGATTGAACCGGTAGCGCGGTGCATTGGTTTGAAACGCGTGTTAACTTGCGATGCCGAAATCGTACGCTATCCCACAAAATGAATCGATGCTAATCGGGCGTCGGCAGGAGAGTTTAAGAGTGCACATTCGCAAGGTCACCCTCGCTAATGAGACTCCCGATGGGCTCTTGAGATCTCACCTCGCTCGACAAATGGACTCGATCGGCAGTGTCCCCAATAGAGGCGTTTTTTGAGAGAGGGGTTAGAGCGCGTAAATATAAATGTGTCGTTAATCCCGCCACCACCCGATGCAGCCAATTCGTGAGGTTTGTCACGTAAACTTAACATGCCCATTCGTTACTAGTTCCGGTGTGTTTGAGAGTAAAACCCACAGCATTTACAATTCGAGTGCAACGTTTCGCTAATAAATTGCAACGAGCATCATCGATGATGCTAGCTATAATTACTGGCGAGTTGCAATTACTGGCGAAGCGTCGTGCTCGAATTGTGAACGCTGTGGGTTTTACTCTCAAACACACCGGTGTGCTGAACTCGTAACGAATTGGCACGTTATGTTTCCGTGATACATCTCACTAATTGGCTGTGGTGGCGGGTTTAACGACGCATTTATATTGACGCGATCTAAACCTCTGTTATAGCTAATATTGGTCGCGAAAGCCTCCTGCGTGTTACATCGATCGGCAGTCTCCACGTGCACTGCTCGCTGGAACCTGCCCAGCCCCGACTGCCAGATCGAGCACCACAGCAAATCGGGACAATTCCCACTCGCCAGCCCCGCAGGGTGGGCGGGGAGGGATAGGCACCTGGGGTTACCTGAACCAGTGGCATCTACATCTGCAGGAGATTATGCAACTTTGAAAGCCATTCCCCGTGTTTAGTGTACACGCCGTACAACATGTTTGGAGTCGACAGGAGTAAAGTTGGACTTGCGAATCAATCGAGTTACGAACAGACCTCTGGAACCTGACTCGTTCGTAAGTAGAGGAGTCTCCAATTTCAAACGAAACCTCGTCAGCTGGACTGCACATTCGCCATGTCACCTACTCCCACCTGAGCTCGCCTGCCCCCCTATCGAGCTCTCTCCCTCTCTCTTTAATCTGGCTCTCATTAACCCCCGCCTGAAGTTATACGTGCTCAAACTGGACCCGGTTCAGCTTGAACCCGCCTGCATCAGAGCGGAATGCGTTGATACACGATGGACGCCCTTGCCACCGTCTTGATCACGCAAGGCCCTTGGGAAGTAATTACTGACCACGCTCAATGGGCTGGCCTGCGTCTTCGGACTGCTGCAGCACACGGTCCGCACACGTGCACTCGCTCGCGGTCAGATCCATCCCCCACGGGGTGCGCATGCGACGAAGGGCGGTTTAACCGTGACGATGACACACACACACGTACACACGTACACCCATACACAACCTAAACACACAAAAACAAAGATCCCCCGTATAGCCTTGGCAGACTGTTGGAGCAAGTGCTGTTCGCGAGCACCTAAACACACACATACACCTAAAACAGCAGCCGTCATTCACCGCCTAGTGACGTTACCGCAGCGCTCGTGCCAGGCTAGGTGCACGCAGCGCTCTGCCCGCGGGGCGGGGGGGGAGTCGTCACGCGTCCCCACACGCCCCTGGCATCTGCACCCACGCGGCCGCGCAATTTGGGGACCCTCTGCCCCCCCCCCCCTTTGCCCTGGTTGGGTGACGGGTCACGCCCGTGAACCGTAGCGATGCTCGCTGGGAACGCGACGCGTGGGTCGGGAATGTCGCTCGCGTGACCCTCGACTGGATCCGCTCGTCGTCGTCGTCGGCAACGTCCGCGCCGATGACTTGGCGACGGCCCCCAGGTGCGAGACGGCAGCCGAGCGGCAAGCGCCGCCGAGTGTTCCGTGCGCGTTGTCGATCGGCGCGCGCGGGGGTGTTACGCGTCGAGCGCTGTGGGCGGCAGCCGTCTGCAAAATCACGCGGCGCTGCCAAGAGGCCGGGGGGGGGGCTCCCGAGTCCCGAGTGAGGGGGAGGAGGAGGCCCGCGGCGAGGGGGGAACGAGAGGAGGCGTCGATACCGTTCGTGCGGGGCTCCCGTGCGCCGCTGAGCTCACCACCGCGCGCCCCTCGCATCCCGTCCGCCCCATCCCGCGGCGATCTTCATCCTGTGCGGTGCTGTGAGCAGTATTTTGATAAACGTGTTTGATTGGTGTGAAACGCGGCCCCTACCCCTACCCACGGCTCTATTAAAACCGCAACACGACGTGTGCCGCCTGCTCCTCGTGGCTCGTGTCGGCGCAAGGGCGTCATTCGTGTGTCTGGACGTTCGACTTCTTTCGCACCGCACGTGGCCGAGCGTGCTAATGGGGAGGTGCCGGGCGGGGTAGGACAACAAACCAAACAGGCAGAAAGCAGAAGTTGTCAAGAAATTCGCTGTCAATCGATCCAGAGGACGGCGCGCGTGCAGCATGGGTCCATCACGAGTGAGTGTTAAAGCGGTGGTCCCTCTGTGGGGAGCGGTGGCGTAGCGGTTAGCGCTACGCTGCGCTACGAACCCGGCGACCCGAGTTCGATTTCCGCTCACGGCTAAGACCGGTGACGGCTATCTGAACCGGTCCTGGGCCTCCCCTAGGTCGACTCGGCCTCAAACGAGTACCCGGTGAGGTGTGTAAATATCGCCACGAGGGAGACAAAGGCGGCCGGGCGTGGTGCTGGCCACCCACCACCTCGTGTGCCGCTCCGGCCTTCAATATTTGCTCGCTAACAGCACTTGCCCCCGACAGTCTGTTCGAGGCTATACGGGGGATCTTTGTCTTCGTCACACTCGTTCTTCTTACGAGGCAATCATTGCTGTTGGAGCAAGGTGGCCGGCAGGTTGCCTCGTTCTGCAGAGCCACCACGGCCCTGCTGCCTTCGTCGCGAGGTCAGATCCTGGTTGGGGGTTGACGCAGCCCACCAGAGCCCTCTGGAGTCGATAGAATGAGTATCAACCTCGTGCAGAACGCTACAGTGCTTGTCCAGCGGATAGACTCGTCCCCGCCATTAGAACGGAGGAATTTCCACCCACTGGCTCCAGGGGCTGTTTAAAAAAGAAAATAGATGCGGCAACCGCTACACCCATTTCGAACCTTTTAAAACAGTCTGCCTCGGCAGCAGACCATGCTTTCCCACCTGATGATGGACGCTTGTGTTGCGTCCGAAACGTCGTGATTCATTTTATTTTCTACCTACGTGACTTTGCCGAAAGTCACGAAAGCTTCAAATCAAGATTGAACCGCCTCAAGGCTGGAGATCGACTCTTCGGCCGTTCCGCACTGCCGCCTCTCGGCCACCCTTCCAGCATAGCACGCCAACAGCTAGAGACAAAGATCACCCGTGTAGCCTTAGACTGTTGGGGAAAGTGCAGTTAGCGAGTAGCAGCACCTATGGAGGACGGTACGGCACACGACAGCGTGGGTGGGTGGTCAGCAAGCACTCACACATCACATCACCAACACAGCATACCAACAGCACGCATCCACTACACCACCCATCCCACACAGCATACCAACAGCACGTCTCCACTACACCACCCATCAAACACAGCATACCAACAGCACGTCTCCACTACACCACCCATCAAACACAGCATACCAACAGCATGCCACCACTACACCACCCATCCCACACAGCATACCAACAGCACACCCTCTACTACACCACCCATCCAACACAGCATACCAACAGCACACCACTACATCACCCATCCCACACAACATACCAACAGCACACCCTCCACTACACCACCCATCCCACACAGCATACCAACAGCACACCCTCCACTACACCACCCATCCAACACAGCATACCAACAGCACACCACTACATCACCCATCCCACACAACATACCAACAGCACACCCTCCACTACACCACCCATCCAACACAGCATACCAACAGCACACCCTTCACTACACCACCCATCCAACACAGCATACCAACAGCACACCACTACATCACCCATCCCACACAACATACCAACAGCACACCCTCCACTACACCACCCATCCCACACAGCATACCAACAGCACACCCTCCACTACACCACCCATCCAACACAGCATACCAACAGCACACCACTACATCACCCATCCCACACAGCATACCAACAGCACACCACTACATCACCCATCCCACACAGCATACCAACAGCACACCTCCACTACACCACCCATCTCACACAGCATACCAACAGCACACCTCCACTACACCACCCATCTCACACAGCATACCAACAGCACACCCTCCACTACACCACCCATCCCACACAGCATACCAACAGCATGCCTCCACTACACCACCCATCCCACACAGCATACCAACAGCACGTCTCCACTACACCACCCATCCCACACAGCATACCAACAGCACACCCTCCACTACACCACCCATCCCACACAGCATACCAACAGCACGTCTCCACTACACCACCCATCTCACACAGCATACCAACAGCATGCCTCCACTACACCACCCATCCCACACAGCATACCAACAGCACGTCTCCACTACACCACCCATCCCACACAGCATACCAACAGCACACCCTCCACTACACCACCCATCCCACACAGCATACCAACAGCATGCCTCCACTACACCACCCATCCCACACAGCATACCAACAGCACGTCTCCACTACACCACCCATGAGTGTGACGTGGTGAGTGTGAGGTGGTGAGTGTCACGTGATGAGTGTCACGTGGTGAGTGTGAGGTGGTGAGTGTCACGTGGTGAGTGTGACGTGGTGAGTGTGAGGTAGTGAGTGTGAGGTAGTGAGTGTGGGGTGGTGAGTGTGAGGTAGTGAGTGTGAGGTGGTGAGTGTCACGTGGTGAGTGTGACGTCGTGAGTGTCACGTGGTGAGTGTCACGTGGTGAGTGTGAGGTGGTGAGTATGAGGTGATGTCACGTGGTGAGTGTGACGTGGTGAGTGTGACGTGGTGTGAGGTGGTGAGTTTGACGTGGTGAGTGTCACGTGGTGAGTGTCACGTGGTGAGTGTGAGGTGGTGTGAGGTGGTGTCACGTGGTGAGTGTGACGTGGTGAGTTTGACGTGGTGAGTGTCACGTGGTGAGTGTCACGTGGTGAGTGTGAGGTGGTGAGTGTCACGTGGTGAGAGTGAGGTGGTGAGTGTCACGTGGTGAGAGTGAGGTGGTGAATGTGACGTGGTGAGTGTGACGTGGTGAGTTTGACGTGATGAGTGTCACGTGGTGAGTTGTGAGGTGGTGAGTGTGACGTGGTGAGTGTGACGTGGTGAGTGTCACGTAGTGAGTGTGAGAATTTGCGGGGGGGGGCAAGGTGGGTTGCGAGGTCATCTCGGGGCAAGCCCGGGTCGCAGCAGGTCAACCCAACTCCACAACGCGACAGGACCATTGCCTGACCCCATCACTTCACCCGCCCATGGGGTCAGCTTGCACCCAGCTCGGTGGCCCATGTCGCGCCCTGTCAGCAGGCACGACCCGCGGCCTCGGCCCCACCGTGCTCCTGCATGTGCTCGGCTTCAGGTGAGGGGCACCACGAACGGATGCTGCCAACTCGATGCGCGTGTCTCCTGCGCTCGTTCGCTCGCTCGCGTCCGAGAGCACACGTCCCCCTCGCTGTCGAGCGGCGACGATACGCAAACCACCGTAGCACACACACACACAGAGCTTTCACACACAAAGCCTTTATCTTGACCCTCGGAGATTCCCATCAGCAGCGGCAGAGCGTATTAGCAGTGGCACGAGACACCCATATGCATACTCTCGTAGGCCGGGGCGATCAAAACGTTTTGGTACGTGGGTGATAAGGAGGTCCTTGCTTGTGTCGTGGGTCAATGCTTAGAGGTAGGGATTCAGAATAAGTCTTTGGTGCTGCTAGGATCTCAGGACAATATCCTCAAAACATTTTGATCACCCCTCATAGGGGCCGTCCATAAATGACGTCACGCGATTTTGGATATTTTTGACCCCCACCCCCCTCGTCACACGGCGTCACAAAAAGTCAGACCCCCCCCCTCAAATATGACGTCACAAAGCTCTGCCCCCCCCCCCCAAAATAAAACATGCTTCAAATCGATTTAAACTATTGTCATTGTAGAGGATATTTAATGTGGCGCTGCACTCTGATGTTGTAGGAAAAAACATTTATTAAAAAGTCTAATTAAGTAGAACGTGTTGTATATATTTATTTAAAGTTGCGCATTTTGATGTGACGTCACATTTCTCAACCCCCCCCCCCCCATCGTCACACATCGTCACAAATGTCTGACCCCCCCCCCAGGTGCGTGACGTCATTTATGGACGGCCCCATACCATTACCTTGCAGGCACGAAGCTGTACGTGAATGCCATGGCCATTTGTATTGAGCGATAAATCATTTACTTGTGAATGCACAGGTGATGCAAAAAACAACACGGATGAAGCCAGAGTGGAAAGTTCGAACGACAACACAACGGGGAGCTGCCTTCATAAATAGCACACGTGCACGGTGTCATTGTGCAGTGTCTACGTCGGGCATTCTCAACACTGATTCTTGTTGGTTTTTTTGGTGTTTGGTTTTGATTGGAAGCTTTCGTGACTGCAGGAATCCATACTCTTTGGTTCTTTCGATAAAGTCACGTAGTTAGAAAAATTAAATTAAATAAATCACGACGTTTCGTGCGCAACACAAGCGTCCACCTGATGATGATTGCTTGTGTTGCGCCCGAAACGTCGTGATTTATTTGATTTTATACCTACGCGACTTTACCGAAAGAACCACAGAGTATGTTGTCTTGTTTGTTTGTTTTAAAGACAGTGGCGAGAAGCAAAAGACGCCACTGGCCTGGCAGGGCCGGCCGCCGTTGCCGCGCGGTCGGTCGTGGGGGGGGGGCAGAACGGCGCGGCGAGGACTCGACGAGGGAGCTTCCTCCGCTCGTCGAGAGCAATCGGCCACCCCAACGTACCTCGTCTCGTATATAAAAAGACCCTGCGAGAAAAAAAATTATAATAATGTTACGGTGACCATGTACGTTAAATACAAAACCAAAAAAACATCCCAAGTTTATATAAAAAGTAGTCATAAATTCTTCCCCAAGCAGGAGGAGGCTTCGTGGCGGGGGGCGGGGGTTGGGGGGGTTACGTGAAGGAACGCGCCGGTCAGTGGCGACTTTTGCTTGCGGCGCCTCGATCGAGCCGAGCGTTTGAACTCGAGCCGCCCAAATGTGTCGGGCGATCGCTGCTGACCCCGTGAGCCCGGGACGCGGTCCGGCGGCCCCGCCCCCCCCCGAGGAGGAGCGTGGGGTCGGTCGTGTCCGCGCCCTCCAGCCCTCTGCTCGTGCTCCAGCGCTTCCGCGGCGACCACCCGGGGCCCACGAGCGCACGGAGCGGGACCCCAGCGGCAGCCGCGGTGCCTCCGACGCCGCACGCGCGAGACGCCTCTCCCACCCCCCCCCACCACCACCACCCGTCACTTGGCCAGTCGTATAATCTGTACATGTCACATCGGCGCACCGATCTCATTTACAACTGTCGTAGGAGGATATAGAATAGAGATTTTGTTTTTTTAGACGGAAAGGCGATCGCTGAGCAATGATGACAAGCGTATAATACAGTAGGATTTCCCAGAAAGCGACTTGATTCAGATCTTGCGATGGTTACGCCCGCGACGACCCGCGGCGTCCCTGCGACGATCCCTGCGAACGCAGAGCGGAGCGGGTCAGCGTCCCGCGCCGCATGGGAGGAGAGACACCAACGCGGCTATCCATGCCGGGGCAGCAGGGTGCTGCAGTGGCAACAACGCTTGTGCCTCACAGCAAGAAGGACGTGAGTTCGACTCCCCAACCCGATGTCGGCCAAACATCCCAATGATGAAAGAAAAACCTGCAACGTACTCAATTGTGATTTAAAAAAAAGGAACAACATTGCCCCCTGGTGTGACAAACTTGACAGGACTCTCCTGAAAAAAATATATATATTACAGGTAGGATCAGCAGTTCCACACTGCCCACCAGGGATTATTTGTCTGTCGTGCATAGCCCCTCCCAAACATGTAGTACGCTCCCGGATTGGTTGAAGTGCATCACGTGACCGCGAGCTTTCTGTCGTGCACGAATGCGCTGCCCAACCAAGTTCCTGCCTGCCCACTCCGAAGGAACGTGTTTTAAAACACTTTTTTTTTAACACGCTTTTTTAAATATATATATTATTTTGTACTTTTCAGTGTCATCAAATATTGTAACCAAATTTTATTTTATCCAGCAGTAGATCGATCGTCACATCGTAAACATAAATGTACTGTAGTAATGGCAGAACTCCACGACTCCAGGAAGTGGCCCCGAAGCTTGCCATAACGTAAGGGACCATGGTGATTTACAGCCAACGTGATTTGAACGTGGACAATTAGACCCAAGCCGAAACATAACATATACATAAAAATGTTTAAATATAAAAATAAATTATTTATTATGATAGAATATAGTATTGTCATCAGTATGACATAAGTATACCAAGTTTGTAGTCGATACCACATTGGGAAGTGGGTTAAAATCGAGTTACAAGATTTGAGGATACAACTACAACAACCACAACACAACGGACAGAGTGAGTTAATAAAAGCGTGTAATAATAATAATAAAAGAGCCCTGAGACTTGGGCCTTCCTGGGTCAGCAAGGCGAAATCATCAATGGCACCCAGGGGGATGGTGGGAGGACTGGGGTTGCCGTGCGGGTCACCTGGAGAGGTCGCGATTAAGCCTTGAGGTCCTGGTCGGGCGGCGCCATGTACGTGTCGGGTGACGACCCCACAGAGCTCTGCGTTTGTTTCCGTGTCCTTTTGGTGAAGAGGGGGGTGGGGGACAACGCACGCTTTGTCAACGCCACGTGAGGGGAAGGGGCTTTTGCGGGCACAAGGGGAGAGAGAGAGAGAGCTCTTCTTCAACTAAAAGGAAGATTCTAGATTTCAAGCTTTCGTGACTGCAGGACCGGATGTCTCAGTAGAAATAAAAAGAGGCTGATTCTAACTGGAAACATTACAGGTTACAAGAGAGACAATTTAGTTACGTAAGCAAATTGAACAATTGTATATAACTTTGATTCGTTAATGCAAAGCTCTTGCGTGTGAAAATCATGGACGGAGCCGAATGGAAAGCCACGATCGCCACGACGTGTTTGGCGAAAGGACACCACAGCTCGTGAGAGAAACGTTGGACAGGAGCAGTGCAGTCACGATGTCTCTCGCTGGGCTGCCGCACAGCAGTAGCAGCCTACAACATGTGTGTTTTGCACATGTTATAAGCCGCTACACGCGGCGTGTTTTGCACGCGTGTTGTACGTACGCATGCTGAACTTCTTTCGCACCGTGCGTAGCCAACCGTGCTTCATCGGAGGTGCGGGAGCTAATCGGAGGCGTTAGGTCACCCATCCAGGCACGACCATTGCTCACCGCTGCTTAGCACAGATCAGGGGCATTCGAGGTGATGCGGTCACCGGGCAGGCACCGACGCATCTCGCGATTTATTTTTCATTCGTTTCAACTCAGGTCAGAGTCCACCCCCGCTCCGCGAGACTAAGGGTCTCCGATTATCTCGTTTGGCTACGTATGGTGCGAAAACAGGACCCTGCGGGGTGGGCTGGTAGGAACGAATAACCAAAGAATATAAACATAATGTATTATTACACTTGTTTAGCCAGGAAAGCCCCACTGAGTCTAAAGGTTTTTGTAGGGTCCTGCCAAGTGTTTGCAGTAGGGGGCGATGTTGCTACACCGAATCGGACGATACGAAGGGAGAGTGTGAGGCCTAGTTCTAGGCTTTAGGCCTAGCTGTAGGCGTTAGGCCGCTGTGAGTTAATTTTTAATTAAAATGTTTTAATTATTTATGTAAAAGCTTTAAATGTAAATGTTTCTATTTAAAAACATCAGGGAATGTAACATTGTTAAACATTAACTCCCTTGCACATACGCGGGGGTACGATACGAAGGGAGAGTTTGAGGCGTAGTTCGAGGCTTTAGGCCTAGCTGTAGGCTTTAGGACGCTGTGAGTTAATTTTTAATTTAAAAGTTTTAATTAAAAGCTATCTGAGGGAATTATAAGGGAGTGTTACACTTGTTTAGCCAGGAAAGCCTCATTAATTTAAATGTTTTAATTAAAAGCTATCTGAGGGAATTATAAGGGAATGTTACACTTGTTTAGCCAGGAAAGCGTCACTGAGCCTATAGGTTTTTGTAGGGTCATGCCAAGTGTTTGCAGTAGGGGGCGATGTTGCTACACGGACGGACGGACGATATAATCTATTGTAGGCTGGTCCACTTCGTTCCTACCAGTATAAGTTCAACATACATATGTGGTGGAGACTTGGGTTACAGAGCAATCACAGCATGCACGTTGACAAATCAACGCACTTTGAGGGTCACGGTATTTAAGAACATATTTTAAAAAAATGAATTAACAGAAACAATCATTGAGACGGTTTACAATTCAACAAGAAACGACTTAAACATTTAAAATTTTATATAGCTAAACGTTTAAAGTGAGATTCAATAGGCTGCTTGCTTTGGAATCTGGTTTAAAAACATTCACATTCATACTGTTAATAAAATATATTTTAATGAAGTGCTGACTTGGATATTAACATCATTTAACTTATTTGTTGGAGCTCGCTGTCAACGAGGATTTGGTTTCTCTTTACAACTTGTTTTCACTTTTAGCGAACAAACACGATACAATTGTTACGCTCTATAGTTTACACAGCAAAGGCTGACGCTCTGATCGACCTTGTGCTGTGGTTCTGTTGGCTGTCCAGTGGCGTATGTGGTCACTTACGGGCTGTACCGATTCTTGAAACAGAGGTTTTTCTTCTTGCAAAGGCAGAAGATGAGGGCGCAGATGAGGAATAAGATGCCCAGCGCGATGATGATGGCGATGATCACCGTCTTGCTGCTCGTGTTGGTGGCCGAGGCGTCTGGACGGCGACACGGAAACGCGGCGTCACTCGCAGGGCCTCTCTGAGCGAAGAGAACGACGGGAGCGATCGGCCGCTCGGGTTTTGGCCGGCGCCACAAAGTTTGGAGATAAAAAAATTGGGTCCAGGAGTGGAAGGCAAACGTCCCGGCGATGCTCGCCCCGTCTTTAGCAAGCAGCATCTCAGCGTTGCGCCACCGGAACATCGAGCGCGCTGGACGCAGTCCCGGGTCCTGCACTGCGCAGCGACTAATATCGCAGCGGACCACTGTGTGAGTTCCACAATTGGTTGTGATTATTTAAGGGTTTTGCTATCGAAAAAAAACCTTGCTTTCGTATTGTTTTAGTTTTATATTTGGATAATATATGTGGCACCCCCCCCTCCTCCCTTTATTTTAAACCCTTTAAAAGAATAATGTACGTATGAATAGTTGGAACTAAACGCAGTCCAGTGATGAAGTAGCCAGAGTGAGACTAAGTATGGACTATTTAAACAAATATTTTTTATTTTACCAGGTATGGCCCACTGAGCTGTGTAGCTCTTTTTCATAAGCGACCTGGCACAAATGATAGCTCAACGAAGTGGCTTATCACGTGGAAATTTACAACCGCCAAATACTCTGACACGCATGTTTCTAAATGTGGAGGGAAAAAACGGGAGGACCCGGAGAAAAATCCACACGACCACGGGGACAGAGAGAGAGACACGCAAATTTCAAATAAACAGCAGCAGGCGTCAGGGTCGGGATCGAACCCGCGACCTCCTGCATACCAGGCGAGATAGTCAACATCTCTGAGCCACTGTGGCGCCCGGGGCTGTGCCCACAGCACGCGTGGCCGCTCTCTCGACCCACCGTGGGCACCGCGCGGCGTGGCCACTTAGAGCCGAGCGGTGGCGCTGCGAGACGGGGAGAGCGCCAATGGGGATGGAGGTCCCGGTTGGAGGAGCCACTTATCCTGTGCTCATGAGCTGCCTGGGATTATACACGGCCTTGGGGTGCGGTTACATCTCACAAAAGCCCCGGAGGAACTGCCCAGACACGGCTTTCCACTCTGAAGGCTGCGTGCATTAACACCACTGTGGCACGGCTCTTTCAAAACGTTTCCTGAGCACACAAAATCACCGGTATTTACCTTGTCAAGAGGCATAAGCCATCACGCGAAATCCGGTCGTCCTCGCTGCCGGTTTTGGCTAGTCATCGAACAAAGGTGGTCACTGCTTGGCGCGCTCTCAGACGCGCTTCTGCGGCCGTCTGGAACGCTTTTTCTTCCGATATTGGGAAGGTGTTGGAGCTATGCAATTTTAAATCTAGATTGAAAACTTATTTCTTTAAAACTGCTTTTTGTTTTTAGTTTAGTGTCCTTCCCCCGCACTTCTGACTAGCACGGTTGGCTAGGTACGGTGCGAAAGAAGTTCAACATACATACATAGTGTTCGATGTCTCAGAGTTAACTTAAAGTTCATCCCTAAAGTTTTACGTTTAACGAGGAGGGTCGTAAACAGCGAGACAAAAAAACAGCCTGTTGGCTCCTGAGATGCCAAGACAGGTGGCCCCACGGGAGCCTCAGGACGGTGGCGGTGCGACTGGGGGCTGCGAGAGGAGTTGGCGGCCCCCAGCAGGGCTGTGGGTGGCCGACACCACGGCTGCTTCCACCAGGCGCAGCCTGATCCGTAGCTTCGTGACGGGAGCGAGCTTCTTTGATGGGCGCGTGGACTTGTGCGAGGGCGTTTCAATACAAAGAGACTTTCACTCATTCCGTCACCCCCTTTCAGTGCAATTTCAATTAAATGTGCATCACAAATGAGCCATGGACCCTGGTACGATTGTTATTTTTTTCTCTCCAGATTCTTTGCTGCTAAATGGCAAACGTATCATGATCACAGACGGCGGTGCCCTTGCACAACCGCACGTGGGCGCGATAGAGCGAGATTCATCAAAGGACGCAGCCACAATGCGGTGTCAACCGTGCGAGTTGATTGTGGGGGTCAACGGCGAGAGCGAAAAACTCACGGGGAGACGGAGGGGGGCTCTCGCTGACGGGCGGCGGCACTGTGAACACAAGGAACACGACGCGGTCGCGTTAATCAGGAGCGCGAGTGGTCAACGTTTTCCCGCACTTCCGATTAGCCACGGTTGGCTACGTACGGCGCGAAAGAAGCTCTATATACGTACACAGTTAAACTGTCAGGCAACGAGGGACACAACCAAATGGCACTCTTGCAGCTAATTTGACCCACGGTTTGCGATGGAGACATCAGGAAGTGTTTTGGTTGTTTGTGGGTTTTTTGTTTTCCCCAAAAATCTGACAAAATTGACTTCCGTTGGGCTGCGGCTCTGGACCTGAGTCCAAGTCACAGCAACCCCTGCGAGTGACGCACCCATACTCTTAGTTCTTTCGGTAAAGTCACGTAGGTAAAAATTTAAATTAAATTAACAAAAAATAAAATAATTATAATTATTATTAATTTTAATTTCATTTTTTACCTACGTGACTTTACCGAAAGAACTAAGAGTATGAATCTTTGCAGTCACGAAAGCTTCAAATCTAGAATTAGTGACGCACCCAGTTCGTGACGCTGGGTGCCTCTGCCCCCTACGCGCGCGGGCGCCGAGCGCGAGCGCCCTCTCGTGGAGACGGCATGGATCGGCGCTGCCCCCACCCCCTACACGGGGGGCGGAGGAGGCCACATCGGGGTCGGGCCGCGCCCGCACGGATCGCTCGTTCGGTGCCAACGTCGGCCGGGCGAGCCACGCGCCACAACTTCTCGGGAGCAAATGGAACGGTTCATCGGCGCTGCTTCGCTCTCGATACTCTGCCGGTTTACGGGCAGCGGGAGCTCAATGAGCCACGGGTCCCCCGCCGCGCATCCCACCACTCGTCTCACGCCTGTCGCGCCTCCGATGAGCACGGTTGGCTACGTACGGTGTGAAGGAAGGTCAGCGCACGGTACATAGCTCACAGCCGATAACAAGTACCGTTTATTTGGCAGGGAAATCATTCGCTTAAACGTCTTGAACGTCAACGCGTTCGTCAATAACCACGTGGCCTTAAAAAGAAAAAAATTGATATGTAATTGGCAACGTTTCGAGTAGCAGCCCTTCTTCAGAGCACAACATGTCACTTCTTGCATATTTTACCTTTTTAAGGTCACAGTGTTATTGATGAATGTTTTGTGTTATTTGTTATGTTTGTTTATAATGTCGCTGCCAACGAAGTAATGCTGGACAAAAAACTAAATTTGACGACTCTTCATGGAAGAACCTAAATAAAAAGGGTTTAACCAGGTAAGGCCCACTAAGTTATATCCCTCTTTTTTAGAAGCGACTTGGATATCTCAACTGAGGGCTTATCTTGGGGAAATGTATAGCAGCCACATACTCTGCATGATGTTGATTCTAAATTTGGAAAGAAAAACTGGAGGACCCAGAAAAAAATCCACGCGACCACGGAGAGAACACACAAACTCCAAATATACAGCAGCAGGCGTCAGGGTCGGGATCAAACCCACGACCTCCTGCATACCAGGCGAGGTGGTTAACATCTCGCAACCGTGGTGCCCCCTGCATTGGGATGTTTGGTAATTTCGATTTATGAGCATTTGGCCTCGGCAAGAAATCCAGAGTACCCAGAGAAACCCCACGTGGACGAGCGGATGACGCTAAAAACTGAGTACAGATAGACTCAATAACCCAACGCTGTCCGGCTACCTCCTCAAAGGCCAAGCTGACAGCACCTCCACCTGCAGACAGCACCGTGATACGAACCGGAGTTGGACGGACCTAAGAGCCACGTCGTAGCTGTCACATGCGAACGCAAGAGGCCACAAGGAAGCCATCTTGAAACTTTCTGCGATTGTAAGGCCGCGTGTCGCAGCGCTCTGTTCGACTTGTAAAGCGCCCGAATGTCACAAATGCCTCGCAGTGCAGAAGCATAAACGAGGGGGGAAACAGGAGGGAATGGGGGGCGGTGGTAGAACTGAGCAAGGGAAGGGAAGGAGAGAAGGAAGCGATCAAGGAGCTCTCTAATTGGCCAAGGAAACTTTGGGAAAAGGAAAGTTTCGAGGAGAGGCCGGAGAGCAATTGGGCGGGGTGGGGGGGGGGCTCGACGGCTAACGAGCGGCGACGGTGACGGTGGCCGTGACGAGAGGGAGCGCGAGCGTCACCCGTGGGGCCGAGCAGCGTCTCCTTGGCGGAGCCGTGCGCGTTGCGAGCCGTGCACGTCGCCTTCGCCTGCTGCGTGGCGCCGCGGGGCAGCACCACGGAGCTCCGCAGCTCCCAGGGCGTCACGCGAACCTCCACCTGCGGCACACGGCGGTGGGGCCGGAGGGGGGGGGGGGTGGCGGTTAGGGTTCAATTGCGAACGAGCGAATGAATCGAGCGTGATATCACGGGCCGGCTCGGAGGTGCGGAGACCACGCGCGTCGGGCGAGGAGGCCGTGCGGGCTGGAGGGTGAAGGAAGTGGGGGCGGCGAGGGAGTGCGGGTAACTCACGGGCGTCTGCGGCACGCTCCACTTGATCTCGGGCAGGGGGTTCCCCGTGGCCGTGCACACCAAGGTGAGCCGCTCGGGCTCCACCAGCACGTCTGAGAGCGTCACCCGCGGCTCCCCTGCGCGCGACACGAACAGCACGTGTCAAGGGTGCAGCCGTGGCACCTCGCCATCGCGGCGACCCCCGTCACCCGCAGTGCGCGATGACCTCAGCCGAGCGGCGGTGCTGGCGTCGGCCGGGTTGCTGATTGGGGTCGGTTTGAATGCGGAGGTGACGTCAATGAGCATAACCCATCTTCACGCAAACTCCGGTCATCCTCGCAGCGGATTGTTGGCCTATCTAACAAAGACGGTGGTCACCGCATCGCTCGCTTTCAGATGCACTTTTGCCGATATTAGGAAGCCACTTTGAAATCATCTAGATTGAAAACTAATTTCTTTAGAACTGATTTTTGTGGTTGACATTGTCGTCCTTCCCCCGCATCTCTAATTATCACAGTTGGCTAACGTACGGTGCGAAAAAAATCTCAAAGTTCATACATACACACGGAGGTCCGTCCTTCGCGTCACCGAGCACACGCGAACGAGCACCGCCGCTCCCTCCGAGTCGCAAGGGGCGCGAGGCGGAGAAGCGGACGAGGCGGGGCACCTCACCTTCCACGCTGACGTGGACGAGGCGGCTCACGCTCAGGCCCGGCACGCTGGGCATGGACACCTCGCACGCGTAGGCGCCGCTGCTGCCGAAGGTGACGGCCGACAGCTGCAGCTGGCCGCCCTGGGCGAGGCGCTTCCCGTCCTGCGTGCACAGCGCCAGCGTCACGGGGGCCCAAACCCCCTCTGGTGGCGAGTGCCACCGCGACCGATGCTCTCCGCTCGGCGGTCGCGGTGGCGAGTCGCCGGTGACAGACGGGCACAACAAAAAAAGTCGGCCCAGGCATTTGGAAACGCACCTCGGCCCAAATTGGGCCGTGCGATTCTCATTGGCCCATTTGGCGCCGGGTGGGGGCGGCGAGGGAGTCCGGCCCCAAAGGAAGAATCTTTGGGGCTGCCGAATGTGGGGGCTTAATGCCAACTGAGAGCACAAATAAGCAATGAAGCATATAAATTTGAAGTAATAACGTATTATCATAAAAAAATGTTTTACTCTGATCATGTTATTTAGCAATTTCCCCACACAGACCCGGCCCACCGGCCCTTGGAATGAACATGTTTGCCCCATGGCCTGCACATTGCACAGTTACAACTCCTCCGGCAGAGTTTCTGCTCACCATATATCAACATTGAATTTTAAAGGTAAGGCCACCACTCTCTCGTCTGTTTCCCTAATTTCATCCCACCTGTGCCAGCGGTGCCATGGGCAGCATAATCCATTCGGATCTCTCAGAGAGGCATGCAGCCACCTGCCTTAGAGAATATCGAGGGCCTCCGTCTCATCAAGTGACCGCTGGTTCACAAAGTAGCGGGCAGCACCTTCCCACCCACGCTGCCACTAACAGCGACGTTCGTCGTATGAGAGTTAAATAATAATTTACATTTATAAGGTGCCATCTCGCGACACAATAACCACTTTGTGGGGGTTCTGGTTTATCTTGCGTGTCCGTGAAGCGTACTTAGCACGTAACAGATTTGTGCAATGTTTGACAGCGAGCGAATTTAAGTTCATCAGCGCTCACGTCACGCTAATTATCTCAGTGCAGTGACATCTCGCACGACAAGCATGACACAAATGGGGCGTGTTACCACCGCTGCTCGATTTTGCTTTTCCACTCATCTCCAGCACTGGCTGCGATCTTCCCCGGGGCGTGCGATGGGGGGAGGGGGGTGGGAGGCGGCGGGGGTGGTGGGCCGTTCAACAGCCGCCGTTGCGTTCCGTAACAGCGGTTGGGGGCTCTCTGCTCCTGCGACAGAGCAGCCCGAGCGCTGAGCTCCACGGCCGGCTGGATTGGTGACCGGAGGGATTCCGGGGATGGGGGGGAGGGAGGGGGTGGTTCTACGGACACCACAAGCTCCGGAAGATGACGTCTCGCGAACAACGCAACAGAATACGCAGCACGGCGAGCGTGAGAGCATCGACGGGGAGGGACGCGGCCGGAGCCGCCGCGCCCAGCAGGTCCACGCTGCGCTCCAGCACCGTCACGAGTCTGGACGTGAGCTCCACCCAGCGGTCAAAACATTGCTCCAAGGACGATTTGCAGCCGCGTGTTCGTTAGTGATTACTGTTATTCCGCTTGTTTACCCAGGAAAGCCTCTCCGATGCACAAGACACCTTTTCACGGCGGCGAGATGTTAACTACCTCGCCTGGTTTACGGGAGATCGTGGGATTGATACCGACCTTAACGCCTGCTGCATATTTGGAGTTTGCATGTCTCTGTCCCCGTGGTCACGTAGATTTTTTACTCCGATATTTTCCCCTCCACATTAAGAATCAACATCCCTCTTTTAGAATATTTGGCTGCTACAAATTCCCATCTGATAAGCCTATTCGTTGAGCTATCATTTGTGGCCAGGTCACTTTCTAAAAAAAATCTACATAACTCAGTGGGGCATTAAGTGGTCAAGTAAAAATAGTTTTAACAAAATAGTTACAGGAGGGTGCTGCATTGCTTTGTTTGGCCCGCTCAAGTTTAACGAGAGAGGACATCTTACGTGGGAAGAAGCCAACGCTATTCAAAGACGAGCCACAAAAACAAGTTCCCAACCCAATCGCTGCACTATCTCCGGGCCACATCGCAGTCCAGCGATCCAACAACCCTCGCCTGGATGTTGTGCTGGATGTTGAACGCTCACGAGCGTGCAACATCCAGCACATGGGGCGAGAGAGAGGCGGCGAGCGCGCCGGTGACGATGCGACGTCCGCGCGTGTGCGCGTGTGTGCGCGAGTGCGTGTGCACGTGTGCGTGTGTGCGTGTGCGCGTGTGCGCGTGTGCGCGTGTGCGCGCGTGTGCGCGTGTGTTCGTGTGTTCGTGTGTGCGTGTGTGCGTGTGCGTGTGTGCGTGTGCGCGTGTGCGCGTGTGTGCGTGTCCGACCTGCAGCCGGTGCCCGCCCGGGGCTGCTCACCTTGCTCCACGAGATGGAGAGCGGTTTCTCGGAGCGGCCGCCGCACTCCACGGCCAGCGAGGTCCCCGCGGCGACCGTGTGGTTCCCCGCCGGGGTCACCGTCACGTCCTCGATCCCTGGCACACGGCCGCCCCCCCCGTCCCAGCCGCACGGATCACGACCCGCAAGCCTCGCCAGCTTATTTAAGCAAGTGATGCCCGCCACTGAGCTATATAGTGGCGTCATTTTCAGAAGCGACCAGGCCGTCACAAATGACAGCTGGACGAAGTGGCTTATCGCGTGGAGATGTTACGGCAGCCGAATGCTCGAAACGAGCGTTTGTTTCTAAATGTGGAGGGAAAACACTGGAGGACGTGGAGGAAAATGCACGCGAACACGGGGAGAACGTGCAGACTCCAAATGAACAGGCATCAGCGTCGGGATCAAATCCACGACCTCCTGCACAACCAGGCGAGGTAGTTAACATCTCGGCATCGTGGCGCACTTGCGCACACCGAAGCGACACCAACGTTGCCGATCTCGTGAACGGTGAGTCTGGTTCTGCCCGGCGGGCCGTGGAAGCCACCGAGGTGCGGCACCGCCTGCCTAGCGCGCTCCGACTCCCCCCGGCACGGCGGCGTGTCGTGAACCACTCACAGTTGACCTCGACGTAGGTGTCGGCCGTCAGCATTTCGGCCAGCGGCTGGTCGAAGTCGAACGTGGTGCAGCGGTAGAGGCCGCTGTGGTCGCGCGCGACGCCGCTCAGGGTGAACGTGGACTCGGCGCCGATGTGCAGGTCCTCCACGCTGCCGTTCTTCTGCACCGCGTCCACACGACACGACCGCCGCAGCAGCAGCAGCAACAGCAACAGCGCATCAACCACATCGCTTCGACAAAGACGGCATCAGCCCGCAGCGCGTCCGTGGCCGCGCGTCGACCACAGCACTATCACCGCAGCGACCGCTGTTTGGCCGCAACGGCAATATTGCATGCATTGCTGCCTTCCGCGAATAACTTGGCGGGGCCGTCGTGATGAACTCACGAGACTGGGGTCAGACTTTCCTGGGTGAAATAGCGAAATAATAACAACAACAAAAATAATCACGGAACAACCGGCACCACACTTCAACCGCAGCACGTCCACCAGCTCACACCAACCACACCACACACTTGCTTGGGGGGGGGGCTCCCCTTGGCTCGAGCAAAAAAAACATTGGTAATCACTGAACTTGTCTTTACCTTCACACGCCCCCCCCCTCCCCCTGGGGTGAAAGGCAACGTCAGAGTGGCTGTGAAGGGCTTTTACCTGAACCCTCTGGAAGGTGAACTCGGGCTCCGAGGTGCCGTCCACGGAGCACTTGAGGGTGACCTTGTCGCCCTGTTTGATGGGCGTGAGAGGCGACTCGACGGTCAGGTTGACGTGCTCCGACGGGTCTGGGGATAAAGTCAAAGGCAGCAGCGGCCGTTCGCTCCCAGTGAGCTCTCTGTGCGACTAGAAGCCACGCTCGCTGGCGGTCGGTCCCCGTGTTCCAACTTCTACGGAGACGTTGGGCAGCGCTTAACCGCATCGGCCCAAGAGCACGGGCGAGATGCGGATGACGGACGCGAACGTGGACAAAGGCTCCCCTACGCGCGACCGCGGCTACGAACTCCAAAGCACGCGTCGCGTAACTCCGCACTGCCCCAAATGCACGCGGAACGCCAGGGTATCTGCCATGCGCCAATTCTCAGACAAGGCAAGTGAATGGCTACATCACCTACAACTGAGTCTCTCATTGTTGCTCTAAAAGTAAACTACAACGATTTTTTTTATCTTACCAGGTGTCAGGTTAATTTAACTATATCGCTCTTTTTCAGAAGCGAAGGGAGGGAGCGAGGGTAGGAGGGATGGAGCGAGGGAGTGAGGGATGAACGAAGCAAAGTGCCGACTACACCGAGCATCTTCTTGTTTCCTCTGATCGTAAAAAAAAGGAGCCGAGGGAGGGAGCGAGGAAGGTAGGGAGCGAGGGAGCGAGGGAGCAAGTGAGGGAGGGAGGGAGCGCGAAGGGGAGGGAGGGAGCGTGGGAGTGACCCCCACGGTGCAGGCCCTCACAGGTGAGCAGTATCTGGATGTCGTCAGACTTCATGCGGCCGAGCTGCCCCCCCGGCTGGCTGTACTGGACCTCGCAGTGGAACGACGCCTGCTTGTCCTCCATCGTGGGATTGTAGAAGAGGTGCGCTGTCACCGAGAAGACGCCGCTCGACTCGCGCACCACGTGCTTATCCACGCGCACGTCTGCGGAACACACACACACGTGCACGCACACGCACAAACACACACGCATACGCGCACAACCGCGTGTTAACAAGCGTCCGTCCACGAGAGAGGCGGCTGCTCACGTGCCAAAAAGTTCACTCCTCTTTGGAAAAAAAAACTAAACGCGGTCGTCAGTGACACTGCGCTAGATGGAGAACATGAGCAATAGGTGACGTTTCAGGCAATTGGCCATTCTTCATGGCAATTAGGAAAGTGGCAGCTACCCCAAAACCAAATTCAGAAAACGTTAATCACAATAAAATGATCATTTGTAAAGGTCGACGAAATGAGCGTTCGCACTGAAACCACGATCACGTTTCATTGTTATCGCCAAGTTGGCTTTCTCTCGTCTGTGGCCCACGGCTCCTTTTAAAGGTATTTTACAACGCTCCGTGTCCACGTCGGGGCATTGGCGAGGACCGCGGCGCGTGTCACGGGACGAGACGCCGACGCCGTGACCACGCGCTCGGCTCCCCCTCTGCGATTCGGGATTTCGGCCACCGAGCGCTCCGTGCCAGAGCTGAAACTCTGCTGAGCGCTGAGCGCAGCCTGCGCCGGGGCTGTCGGAGTCATCGGAGCCCGTTACCCGACTCCTGTCAAGCTGCTGAGATGACTCGCCAACAGCTAAGGTGGAGTGAGTCGTAGCGACAGCGGGGCCGAGCCACCACTGGGTCTCTTGAGCAGCGTGACTTGTGCAGCAATGCTCCCCACCACCCCCTCACACAGCACAGCATCCTGTGCCTGTGCTGCCCAAATAATCTATCAAGTGTGTGTTCCCTGCCCCCCCCCAACGAGTCGGCCGAGCACCGCTACGAGTTGAGAGGGAGGTACGGACGCCTCGACGCCACCGCTGCTGCGAGTGTGGTTTGTGTCGTGAGGTCAACACGAGTGGCAATTGTCTCCAGCCGTCCTGGGCCTCCCCCGAGGTACACCTGGTGCGGTGTGAAAACATCGCCACTCGGGAGACAAAAGGTGGCCGGGCGTGGTGCTGGCCTCCCCTCCACGTGTTGCCGTGCCGGCCTTCATTGGCGCTGCTACCCGCTAACAGCACCTGCCCCAAAAGTCTGCAAAGGCTACGCGGGGGATCTTTGTCTTTGTGTGGCGAGGCCTCGCCGCCTTACTCTGCGGAGACTTGTTGAGCAGGGCCTGGCTGTTCTTGTACCACGTCAGGTTGGCCTCGGGGTAGCCGCCGCTCGAGATGCACGTGCCGATCTGCAAGGAACGCCAAGCGGGCCGCGTCACGCACTCTGCGAGGAAACGGGGCTGAACGTTGCGCTGGGGGAACGGTCCATCGAGTCCCCACGGGCGTGCGTCGGCTCGCCCGAGAGAGGAAGCGGCGATGAAGCGATGGCAATCAAAGTCGTGGAACAGCGTGTTGGCGCGACAACGCGTCTTCGCCGTGACGCGGCTCTTCCATCAGGGAATACTTTTCGCACAACGCGGAACGCGCGCCCCGTTATAACGTGGAATGCGCGCCCCGTTATAACACGGAATGCGCGCCCCGTTATAACGCAGTTTCTGAGCGATCAACAACAAACGACATTATTGAGCTGCGTGGCTGAGCAGTGTGGTACAGGACGCGGAATGAGTAACACGGCGGCATACCCTGAGTTGTTTGACTCGCCATCGCACGACGTGTGCGTTCATCGTATCTCACTAAACTTTTATCGGGACGTTATTTATGGGGAAATCGTTTTCGCTTGATGCGGCACTTTTCTGGAATGCATCTACCACGTTAAACGCCAACTCCGCTATTCGTCAGTTTAAGATCAAATAGTGAATGACTCGAATCAACTGGACAGACATAAGACGTCTCAAGCAGTTTCACCGTTATGCAGTCTCGTTTGTTGCGTGTATCTCACAACTGCATTGTGATGGAACGTTGTGTTTGGCCTTCAGTCACTTCCTTGCCGAGTGATCATCTCAGATAACCCTTTTCTCTGGTGCCTTTAGGTGTAGTGCTTTGCATGAGCGCTGTGAATGCTGAATTACGATTGTCAGATTAGACTATGAACAACTATGTTTGATTTTACCAGGTAAGGCCAACTGAGCTATGTAGCTCTTTTTCAGAAGCGACCTGGCCACAAATGATAGCTCAGCTAAGTGGCTTATTGCGTGGAAATGTATCGCAACCAAATACTCGAAGCGCGTGTTTTGAAATGTGGAGAGAAAAACCGGAGGACCCAGAGAAAAATACACGTGACCACGGGGAGAGAGATAAATGCAAACTTAAAATATACAGCAGCAGGCGTCAGGGTCGTGATCGAACCCACGACCTCCTGTACACCAGGCGAGGTGGTCAGCATCTCACCACCGCGGCGATTAAACACGCCGCAAAAAATGTACCGCTACTACGACGGGCGCACGGATTTACCAGCTGCTTGCCCAAGCCGAGAACAACGGAGGAGGGACTCCTGGTGATCACCAGCTTCTCCGGGAACGCTGCGGAAGAAGGAGAAGGAGGAGAAGGAGAAGGATGAGAAAACGCCCGGGCTCAATTACAGGAGCGGACCGCCTTACAAGCGGGGGGCGCGGCAATGGGCCCCCCACTCTGCCCGCCCGCCCACCCCGTGTGATCTCACCGTAGACCTCGAGCTTCGTCTTCAGCTCGCCGTCGTGCGTGACGCATACGAAGGTCGCCCGGTCCTGCAGCAGCACGCCCTGCAGCGTCAGGGCCGTGTCGCCGCCCAGCTCCACGCGGCCCTCGAATGCCGGCGCCGGCCACAGCTGCCCCGTGCCCTCGTCGCGCGTGAACACTGCCGAGCGCCTGCCTGCCCGCTCCTGGCCGACGGCAGCGAGTGGGGTGGGGTGGGGGGGTGGGTGAGCTTTGTCGAAGCGGCATTTTCGCCGTGTTCTAGGTGCGAAGTCTGCTCGAGAGGAGTTGTACACCCCTAGCTGCCACTGCTAAATGTATCATTCCGGATGACCGCTGCAAAGCATGGTCTTGAGTTTTGATTATAGTGTGCTGATCTTTAAAGGTGTATTGGATTTTTTTGATTCTGCTACTGATACTCCTGCTGTTATGGAGTGACTCGTGTAGCCAACTATGGCTGCAAAGTTTGGTCGGACATGTTATGTATATCGTTTATTGTTAAATTAGATCAGAGTTCCTATGATTACTGTTACATTGTTTTTATAGCTTAATTTTGGTGATTTTTTAAAGGTTTTGGTTTAGCCATGTTTGTTTGTTGTAGTACAGAGTTAGCCTGATAACTTTAATCTACATTGTCTTACGGTTGTCATTGTTTGACTTGCATCCCACAGGGCTTTTTGCACGCAGCGTTGAAACACGGTGTTTTTCTGGAAGACTTTGCTGTTTTTTCCAGGATTTTTCTGTTGCGTGTAGTCACTTTAAGATGTTTCTTGTTCATCTTTTTGTTTTGTTGCGGTTGCGCCCGAGTCAAGAGCCGCATGGCTCACAGGGTTATACCTAATCAATGAAACTGAAAACTGAAGTCAAAGGGAGCAGGGCAACACACATCGCGAATTAATAAAACAAAAATAATTTATCAATTAAACTGCTTAGTTTCTTTGTCCAAACTTAGTTATTATTTAACACTACATTTAACACTACAGTTTGACAACATGGGACCTTTTTTGCCAGTATTAAAGTATGAAAAACAAGAATAGGCTTCATATTCTCTGGCAATAATGTAGACATGCAAGGAATCATGTCTACATTAGCCACACATGCGTGTGGTGAACATGCAATCACACGTGCTCTTATAATTTTTATGCATTGTCTTTGAAACTGATTGGCCTACACCAGAGACAGCCTTCTTTAAGGCCTCGTCTCACCAGTGTCAGACCAGAGAACGCCCAAAGGCAAACAGGACCGAGACATTATTATATTATGACTAGCTGTACTACCCGGCTTCGCCCGGGACTTGTATCCACCACGGCCGGCCGCCTTTGTCTCCCCAGTGGCGATGTTAATACGCCACACCAGTTACTCGTTTGAGGCTGAGTCGACCTATGGGAGGTTCAAATAATCTTGACCGGTGGTGGCCATGAGCGGGAATCGAACTCGGTTCGCCGGGTTGGTAGCGCAGCGTAGCGTTAACCACTACACCCACCGCTCCTCACACACACAGACGCACAGACACACACACAGACACACGCAGAAACACACAGACAGACACAGACAGACACACGCAGAAACACACAGACAGACACAGACAGACACACAGACAGCACGCTAACCACTACACTACCGCTCCCCACACACCACAGACACACACACAGACACACACACAGACACACACAGACACACACACACAGACACACACACACAGACACACACACACAGGCAGCACGCTAAGCACTACACTACCGTTCCCACTACACACCACACACGCACACACACAGACACACACACAGACACAGGCAGCACGCTAAGCACTACACTACCGTTCCCCCTACACAACACACGCGCGCGCGTCCATAGGTACACATACACGCGCTTGCTGCAGACATACACACACATACATACACGCACATACACACAAACACATACACACGCATACACACAGACATACACATACATACAAACACACACATACATACACACAAACACATACACAATACACACACATACATACAGACACACACATACATACACACAAACACATACAGACACATACATACACACATACATACAGACACACAGACATACACATAAACACATACACACATAGTCATGACCCGGCTTTGCCCGGGACTTGACGCCCGGCCGCCTTTGTCTCCCCAGTGGCGATGTTAATACGCCACACCAGTTACTCGTTTTGAGGCTGAGTCCCTCCCTCGCCACTCTGCCTCCCTCGCCACTCTGTAGAGGACGTGAAATTTGTATGAATTTACCTCAGAGTGGCGAGTTGGGTGTCGAGGCCTAGCACCGTGCAGAGCCTCCAGCCTTGCCTGATTTTCCCACCCGGCGAACGCTGGGTACGGGTGCCGGTCCCCCCCCCCCCCCCGCGCTATTAAAAATGGCGTCCACCCCGCGGAGAAAAGTTGCTACTCGTTGCCAGGGGCAACCGCCGTCCAATGAAAGCGGCGAAGGCGTCGTTAGCTGTTGCCAGGGGCAACCGCCGTCCAATGAAAGTGCGTATGGTCCGAAATCCGGGACTTGTATCTACCACGGCCGGCCGCCTTTGTCTCCCCAGTGGCGATGTTAATACGCTACAGTAGTTAAGTTACTCGTTTGAGGCAGAGTCGACCTAGGGGAGGTTCAAATAATCGTCACCGGTGGTGGCCGTGAGCGGGAATCGAACTGGGTTTGCCGGGTTGGCAGCGCAGCGTAGCGTTAAGCACTACACCCACCGCTCCTCACACACCACACACGCACAGACACACACACAGACACACACACAGACACACACACAGACACACACACACAGACACACACACACAGACACAGGCAGCACGCTAAGCACTACACTACCGTTCCCCCTACACAACACACGCGCGCGCGTCCATTGCTGCAGACACACACGACTTTCAGGGTGCATACGGCAGTAAACGACTGAAATAATAAAGCGGCAATGCTGTGTAAGGAACGCCTTAGACCCGCATTATACATTTGTGTAATGCGAGCGTAAACACACAAACACACACAAACACATACACAATACACACACACATACATGCAGACACACAGACAGACACATAACACACATACATCTATATATATAAAATCGTTCATGTCTGTCTGTCTGTGTGTGTGTGTGTGTATTTCGGCCCATACGCACTTTCATTGGACGGCGGTTGCCCCTGGCAACGGCTAGCCACGCCTTCGCCGCTTTCATTGGACCTGGCAACGGCTAGCGACGCCTTCGCCAAGGGCTGCAGTTTCATTGGACGGCGGTTGCCCCTGCCAACGGCTAGCCACGCCTTCGCCACTTTCATAAGCTCCGTATTTAATTAAATAATAGCCATTACACAGTATTGTTGGAGCGCTGAGGGGGGGGGAAGGAACGCCACCCGTACCCTGCCTCTTCCAAGCCGACAATTTTAGGCGAGGCCGCAGGCTTTGCACGCTACTAGGCCTCGACACCCACCACGCCACTCTGAGGTAAATTCATCAAAGTTTTTCCTACTCTTCACTACACCCCCACCACAATGTGTGCTATTAATATTACTTTTAAACCCAACGCGCCAACAATCGATTACTTTAATGTTCACTGTACAAATACTCATTAAGCTGGGTGAGCGTACTGCCAGTCTATCATGTACACTGTAGCCTGCTTATTAAGCTCGGTGAGCGTACTGGCACTCTATCATGTACACTCTAGCCTGCTTATGAAGCTGACTGCGTGTACTGGCAGTCTATAATGTGGACTGTAGCCTGGTTATTATAATCGATTCTTTATATGTTCTTTGTACAAACAGTCATTAAGCTGCTTGAGCGACCCCAGTTCGATTCCAACTCACGCCCACCACCGCTGACGATTATTTGAAACGGACCTGGCCCTCCCCTAGGTCCACTCAGCCTCAAACGCGTAACTGCTGTCGTGTGTGAACATCGTCACTGGGGAGACAAAGGCGGCGGGGCATCGTGGATCCAAGTCCCGGGCGAAGCCGGCTCATGTGTATGTGTGTTTGTGTTTATGTGTATGTCTGTGTGTCTCTATGTATGTGTGTATGTATGTGTATGTATGTGTTTGTGTGTATGTGTGTGTGTATGTATGTGGGTTTTTTTTATGTCTTTATGTGTATGTCTGCGTGTCTCTATGTATGTGTGTATGTACGTGTGTGCATGTGTTTGTGTGTATGTATGTGTGTCTATGTATGTGTGTATGTGTTTTTGTGTATGTGTGTGTATGTATGTGTGTTATGTGTCTGTCTGTGTCTGCATGTATGTGTGTGTGTATTGTGTATGTGTTTGTGTGCATGTATGTGTGTGTTTGTGTGTATGTGTATGTCTGTGTGTATGTGTTTGTGTGTATGTGTGTGTATGTGTGTGTATGTGTTTGTATGTGTTTGTGTGTTTACGCTCGCATTACACAAATGTGTTGCTGGTCTAAGGCGTTCCTCGCACAGCATTGCCGCTTTATTATTTCAGTCGTTTACTGCCTTACGCACCCTGAAAGTCGTGTGTGTCTGCAGCAAGCGCGTGTATGTGTACCTATGGACGCGCGCGCGTGTGTTGTGTAGGGGGAACGGTAGTGTAGTGCTTAGCGTGCTGTCTGTGTCTGTGTGTGTGTGTGTCTGTCTGTGTCTGTCTGTGTGTGTCTGCGTGTGTCTGTGTGTGTGTCTGTGTGTGTGCGTGTGTGGTGTGTGGGGAGCGGTAGTGTAGTGCTTAGCGTGCTGTCTGTGTGTCTGTGTGTGTGTGTGTCTGTCTGTGTCTGTCTGTGTGTGTCTGCGTGTGTCTGTGTGTGTGTCTGTGCGTGTGTGGTGTGTGAGGAGCGGTGGGTGTAGTGCTTAACGCTACGCTGCGCTACCAACCCGGCGAACCCAGTTCCATTCCCGCTCACGGCCACCACCGGTGACGATTATTTGAACCTCCCCTAGGTCCACTCAGCCTCAAACGAGTAACTGGTGTGGCGTATTAACATCGGCACTTGGGAGACAAAGGCGGCTGGGCGTGGTAGATCCAAGTCCCGGGCGAAGCCGGGTCATGTGTATGTGTTTATGTGTATGTCTGTGTGTCTGTATGCATGTGTGTATGTATGTGTGTGTATGTGTTTGTGTGTATGTCTGTGTGTGTATGTATGTCGGTTTTGCCGCCGTGGTGGATCCAAGTCCCGGGCGAAGCCGGGTCATGTGTATGTGTTTATGTGTAT